CTGTTCACTTTACTGTCACACAACGGCAGCTACAGTTGTCACTAAATATCAAAATATTATTCAATTTACTGATTTAAATGCAGTAACTCATATTGCTGCAATTGGCAAAAACGACAGTGGTGAAGTTTTAGAAAATTTAATTTTTGTCGCTACAACGTGGTGTTGTAATTGAATGACAAAATGTCATTCCTGATTTTAATTTAAAATTCAAAATAAAATTTACTATACAAATAGAAAGGAAAAAAAAATTTTAATAGAAATTGTGAATAATAATATAACTGACTATGTATATGTGATAAACAATATTTAATAATTAAACTTATCATAGCTCTTTCATTAATGAAAAATTAATTGCTATAATTATACCTCTGTGACGCGTCGAACAACTCTGTAACACTATAGGACTGTTGCAATAAAGTAAGCACCTCAATCAAATTTGATGAAATTTAAATTAACATTTATTTTTTTAGTATGATTGATTTTTGAGAGTAGTAGAGTAGATTAGTAGAATATTTATATAGATATAGTCATTATAACAGTGTGAATCCGATTTAATGTAATATTTTATATCAATTTGTTTTATAAAAACGTATTAAAAATGTATAATCTTATACGAGTAGTATGTATAATATTTTAGGAATTCTCAATTATAAAAACAACAAACTTTTAAAAATTTCAAGATGGGTAATGTTTACCAAAAAATTCAGTTAATCCAAGCAATTACTGTGAAATTTAATATTGTAAAATCAAAGTTATTAAAAAATCTTCAAAATTCTAATAATGAATTGAAATTACAATAACTTTTAAGTACAGAACTCGTATAGGTAATGGACAACTATCGAAACACATATACATATCGAACGTCAACTTTATATTTATTAATTTCTCACGTTTCTTTACGTTGCTTACAGAATTGTAGCCTAGAATAGTATAGGGATCAGTTTGAAAGTTGAAGATAATACATAAGAGCGTATTAAAATAATTCGGAAAAAAATATTTAAAAAATATTTTAAGCACATATTTGGGCATCAATTAATTCCACAATACATTTATATAACCAAGCATACACGTACACGCACATTTAGGCATACGGTATGTATGTATGTGCCAACATTTTGTAATCCATATTTATTTTTAATAACATAAGAGAGTATGTAAAATAAGAATCACATTTATTATTTTTTTATATGTAAGTCATGTTATTACCATAATGTTAAAGGATATAAAAGATATGATACTTCCTTAAAAACATAAATTCCTGACTATCATTCACAATAAATATTTGTTGTTTTTTATTATGAAAAAAAAAATTATACTCTTATTTTATTGATTTTCTCTTTAGTCTTACGTGTTCTAGTTATCAATTATTTGTGTAAATGTATGTATACTTATATGTATGTACAAAAAATGAAACTTAACAAAGTGACTCCAACTCTGATATATTTACAGTTCTTCACAATTTCATATTTTAAATTTATTTTTGGAATATTGCATTAATTCTGATATTTTAAACCATGGTAAAACATTTGAATTTTGTTCAACAGAATTACAAGCTGTCCAAACGTTCTTAATTCTGTAATTTCAACATTTCTTAATAATATTTAATTAAAATAAGGCTGTTATTAATGTAAAGCTTTATTATTGGGCATGTCAGACAAGATTTTCCATATGTGCATATACATAATACACACACACTCCTCTAAATCATGCTTTCACCTCAAATTCTAGGAATATTCATAATATGTAGGCTTATATAGAGTTTATATGTACATGATCATTATTAATCCATTATTTCCACCCTTTTTGAAGGAATTATTGTCAAATATATTATAAAAAATATATTTTATCCTCTTATAAGTTATGAGATCTATTATTTGCCCAAAATCTACTACTTACCTATGTAATTTTAGTGATCGTAGCATAAAGAGATCGAGTCCTTCGGGAGATTGGTGGACACATGGTTTAATGAAAACCATATATAGTTCGTTAATTTTCCTTAAATAGTAAAATAATTCATATAAAGGACAACATTACAAATTATGTGTAGTAATTAAATAAAAGAATTTTAATAAGAAAAAAATAATGTGTTTAAAATATCAGAATAATAATATAATATTTATAACTAAATTCGATACTGGAGAAACTGAAGCCTAGAAATTCACATGCAAGCAAAAATACAAACTGAGATTCTACTAAAAACCCCAATAATATGGTAAATAAAAGATATTAATAATTTTTGGATGCACCCTGTAAAATTAAAATTTAAGTTTGCAATTTCAAACTATTCCAAAAAAAAAAAGACAAAAATATTGAAAATGACTAAATAAATATTTTCTTTATGATGTACTTGATTATTGTAATGTGTGGAATATATTCTAAGGTTATGTTTGCATCACTCTCTACATACATACACAAAAGTTCTGTGTACACATGCATGTTATACACGAAAAATTTCCTTTTTATAAAAAAAAGTATAGTTTCTCTATATATTTGTTTATCTTACAAAACGTGTACATATATAGATAAATTCAAATATAATTTTTATAACAGATGCAAAAACATGAAAGCATATACAACTTACAAGAAATTTAAACAGGATTACAAAATAACAAGATATTTTGTTGCATATAATTTACCAAATTCTTTGTCATACATTATTTTCTATATTATATATACTTACATATGTATATATCGAACATAAAAAAAATAATGCAATCTTTTACATTTATATCAAAAGTATATCAACAGTTAGTGTGTAGAACAACTTGTTGTATCCTGTTGCATATATTTAGGCTCAGAATATTTTAGATTAAGTTAAATAAAACATTTTTTTTATGATATGTGCATATAGCTATTATTTTATTATTTAATATTGTTTATATTATGTAAGTATAGCAAGCATGTAAAAAAAATATTTACTAAAAATATCCTTATTCTTATTTAAATTTTAAAAACATGTTATAAAACTTTATTAATTCAAGAATTTTATTTAAAATTCAAATAATCTGAATTTATCTTCATTGTTTTTTTGTGAAATTTTTTATATTACATTTTATCTTTCTGTTTTAAAATAAAATAATTTTGATTTTGTTTTATATTTAAAAGTGATGGATAAAAATTAGAGAAATAAAATTAAGTTAAAATTTTTAAAAATCTATTAAGTTTTTAAAGAAAAATTGATAAAATGACGCAAAATTCAAAAAGAAATTCGGAAAGCCTTTACGATTCACTAATTATAATTATGTGAACTCAATCAATATCAATAATTCAAACGTCCAAACTGTGATCAATGACAAACCCACTCATTAAAACTAATTTTAATATATTAAAACAACACCACTTAACTCTACTGAAATTTATAAACTAAAAGTGTATATAAGAAAATACCTATGAAAATGAATCTATGCCAAAATCTATATATTTTTTTCCTATTAAATTCTATTCTACTACCACATAATATTGCATATGTTTAGGAGGAATCTTAAAAATAACATACGTAGTTATATAACGTGCATAGAAAAATAAAATATGTTTTGCTGATGAATTTGAAAAATATTAATATTAAATTCCTATTTAATTAAATTATAGCTTAAGTACAATGAAACATTTTTCGAAAATATGACAATGATTACTGCTACTTTCTTGCTAACTAACAGAAAATGACTTCAAATAATAAAAATAAAAAAACTACAACTTGGGGTACTGATTTTACGAAAAAATGGCGAGAGTTAACATAATTGACGTTGTGTAATAAATAGCATAATATTACATATAAATCTATATAATATTTATATTTTTAGACATTATGCAATATACGAGTATAAATGCTGCATTGATGTGCGATATAACTCATTAATTTGAGAAGTCGGAAGAACATTGATTAGAAGTTTTCTAATTTATTCTTGATATTTTTATATACGTGAATAATACAAAAGTTTTTATTATTTAACATAAAGGGAAAAACTTTTTATAAACTATTTTTACTAAATAAAACGTACATAATATATGTATATGTAAGAAATGAAACAAAAGTTTTAAATATTCTAAATAACAAAGATAATGGTTAAAATAATCAGCGTAATTAAAACTAATTTTTTTGACTATATATTTTCTAAGTATATATGTAGGTATGACTAGGTATGTATTGGGATTAGTGTGGATAATACATGCTTGACTCAATAAAGTAGCTATTTTAACTTAATTAGTTAAGAAATTTTGTTCATTTTCGTTGTAGCTGTTCTTTTTTTATAATTTCTCTATTGATTATTGTTTGGATATAGATAATATATCCATTGGTTTGATCTTAATATTTTCAAATTTATCCTATTCTATTCTAGTCATTAATGATATTCAACAAAATTTCCCATAATTTTTCTTAAGTCAAACCGACAATATTTTTCAAAGAAGCTGTAACTAACATAACATAATATCCCAAAATAGGTTAGCAAAAAAACTTACTTGGACGTATTGTAATATTAGTTGGAAAATAATAGCAGGAATTTCAAACACTTATAATTGAGAAATTATTTTAAATTTTAACGATTTTCTGTGTTAAAATGTTTTTTTTTAAATTATTTCCAAAAATCAAAATTTGATAAATTTGAGGCTCTAAGCGCATTAGAAGCCTATCCAACATTTTTGCAAAAATAAGTTATAATGTTTAATAGAGCAGTAATGGCATAAAGAACTGTTCTATATTTTTAAATTACTTAGTTTACCCCTCTTTTCTCTCTATTTTGACATGCGTTTGTTTTTGCCTTTTAAAAATTTTCTTAAAATTTAAATATTAATCGCAATTTACTCGAAATGTCATTTTTGCAAGTAGACCGCTAATGCTCTGAGAGCCTTATTTTGTTTACATATCTAACTAGTTGTTATTTCCTGTTACAAGATGTCGCTTAACACATATTATTGTGCTTCGATCATATTTATCTGCATACATATGTGTGTCATCTTTATACATATTTATTGTATAAAATTTAAAATTTTTTGCGGCACTTTAGATTCTGCACTTTTTCACATACTCATATTGGATAAAATATTAGTTTTTTGACATGATTCAAGACTTATTAGATTTATATTTAAAATTTCCCCAGCTGCACTGCATTAATATTGAGAGAAAAGTATTACAAGGGACTATGTTAATAGAGGTAAATTAAAAACATTCCTACTTAAATATTATTTTCGTAAATCTTATTAATTTCAGGGATCACCATGCACCATTGAAATTACTTTACCAAATTTCCCAAAGATTAAGAATTTTAAATGTATTCTTAAAAACAATCTACATATTGCTAACATTTCAAATAAGACAAATATAGATCCGAACTGGAATATAGAAGAATTTTTAAGCAACTTACCAAAAATTTGGAAAGAAGAGAATCCCAATTTAAATTTTAAGAAAGAAATTAGTTATGGGGAAGGAGTTTTAAATATACTAAATCAAATTCTAGCCTGTAAAAATGAATTGAACGATATTAAAATGCATGTGGATAATGATCTCAGTTCTGTTAAATTTGATAATTTTGTGGTATATCCCGAACATTATCTTGAATTAAAAATAGAAGATTTCGTAGTTGAAGTAAATGATCATAGTCTACCAAATTTCTCTGATGACTGGAAAGTTGATATGATTGAAGATGATTTATGTACAAAGAATTTATTTAGCTCTCCATCAACTATAGTGGGTTATTTAAAGCAATTTTTGAAACTCTTAGAAAATTTCGAGTTATTTTACAAATATATAAACGCTTTAGATGATCTCTGTTGGATAGTCGAGCCGACTGTTATAACAACTAAAATTAATTGGAGAATGTTTAAACTTGCAGATAACGTATATATAAAAGTTACTTTAAATCCTTTATGTCCAAATTCTATAAGTGTAAATTTTTATGGACCCACATTGGAAGTAGAAAAATATCGCGATATTTATCAAAAAAACGTCCCGAACTGGGATTGTGAACTAGACGTTTATAGCAATTTATTGAAGATATTTGATTTAATGTTATTTCCTTGCAAAGATGCTACCATTAACTCAGAAAATGATGATTTCAATTGCAAAATTTGTTTATGTTATTTGGATGACGACTCTCATGTACCAATTTGCTCTTGCGATAACATAAAATGCAACTTAATATACCATGTGTCTTGCCTCAGAAGATGGTTTTCGAATTCAACCGAGGGGAGAACTTTTTTAAGTGTTGCAATTGGAGTTTGTCCTTTTTGCAAAGAAGTAATTTATATTCCAATCAAATTTGGATCAACATTAATTTAAATTTTTGTCGTTTCAGAAATTGTCCGCATCCTTTAGAACCCTCTTAGATATTTAACAAGGTATAAAAAAAATCTATGTTATATTTACATAAATATGTAATTAAACCATATATTAGACAATTTTTATAAGATATAAAACACTTTAAATATTAATTATTTTATTTAAATTATGAGCGATACAATTCTTTGTCAGCTTCATTTTTTAAAAGAACTTTTAAACTTGTTCCCGATAAACCATAAAACATTTTTGGTATCAATGTAGGCTTTGTTGAAGCAAACTTCCATCCTAAATGCATATCACAACGTCGGCACAGTATAATTTGCCATGAGTAACTAAAACAATTAAAAAAATTATAAGCAGTTTTGAAAAATATAAATCCGAAATATTGCTTACGCAGGAAACCAACTAAACTCTTCACTTGGTAAGCCTGTCGGGTATGTCGAGTCTTTAATTAAATTGTAAACTGTATTCGTCTCGTGAATACATCCAGCTGAAAGAAAAGATAATATCTATGATTATAGTTGAAATAAAAAAATTTATTTTAAATACCAGGATTTATATAATTTGTTTGTACACCATGTTTTGACATAGCAAAAAGAGAGTTACAATTAGCGATTTTTGATTCGCATCTAGTACAACAGAAAAATATTTCCTACAAAAGCAAGTTTTTTATAATTAATGGAATAAACGAGACTTCGAGATTTTTAAGCTTACATTATCTAAAGATTTATCGATAATTTGAAGACGTGTATTAACACAATTTGTTAAAAATAGTTTATAGCGTTCTTTACTATTATGTAATAAGTTTCTTCCAAGCCAAAAAGAAAGTAAAACAGGATCTGTCGGCATTGAATTCATTTTGTAAGATTCCAAACAAATTTTAGCTTTTTCTATTATTGTACTCATATTGTACGGTTCGTAAACAAAACTTGGGAAACAAGTTGTTGCTGCTTGATATTTTTTTAAGGTTTTTTCCATTGAAGTTATACCACGAAATCTATTTAAACTTCCCAATTGGATACAATTTAAAGGATCTGGCAGGTAAATTTCGGGCAATATACGAATAAACGCATATGTTTTTCTATTTTTATCGAAGAAAGATTTCTATTAAAAAAAATTCTTCAGTATTTAACATATATTACTTACGATTCCGGTGGAATTTCATCAAAACTGAAAATATTAAATTTAAAAATTTATGAAATATGAAAATATTTAATTTTTACTTAGGATTATCTTTTCTTTGAAGAACAAATCTATGATGTGCTTTCGATTTTAAAATAATTTGCCCCATTTGATCAGTCCCTTTTTCAAATATTTGGCACGTAACCCCAAACAATTGATTATCACTTCCAGTTGATGGAAACATTAAACCAAATTGTATTCCATCGCCATCTTGATCTAAACCTGGATCAAACATATAATTTGGTATAATCATAGGTAAAGTTTCACCCGGAAATAATAATGTTTTGTGATTAAATAACAACATTCTATATAATTTTCCCGCTTCCAGATAATTAACTCCTGACACTCTTGACAAATTACTCCCTAAATATGAATGTTCTGCCGGTAAATCTGTATCAAAATTTTCTGCACTTTCTGGATCAGGATCTGGCAGTTCATCTTCATCATCACTAAGAGGTTGTGAATGATGGCGTATACGAAACTGTCTTGTTAAACGTATTGGTCTTCGAATCTCTTGAAATATATTTTCACCTATTCTGCGTGCTGTTAACGGCTCTTCCTCATCCAAATCCAAAAGTAATCTATGTGGAAATCTTACTGCGCAAAATAATTGATGCAATAAGTATAATATTAGGTATTATGTATACTTACACAAATCTTCAACCGATCCTCCAGGATCCCCCGCTGAATGATTGGAAGAACTTTCTTCGTTTGAATTATTTTCTTCTTGATTAACATCCAATATATTTCCTTCTATAGTTTCAAAATTTATATAAAAAAAGTAAAATACACAGAAGTTAAATAGGAAAATCAAAAACAAATAATTTTACATCTAATAAACGAAAATTTACCTTCCCCATTATTATTAGATTCATCCATAGTATTTTATTTTCAATTGTTGAAAAACTTAGAAGCAATTGCGTTAAAACATTAGGATTAAATTGTAATTATTGTAAAATATTTTATTTTATTTAAATCAATCAAATGTAAATACTTTAAAAAATAAAAATAGTTCGCACTTACAAAATTTTCAATTTGTATTTTGCATAAAAAAAATATCAATTGTCAAAATTAATTTGACATTTGTGGAACTTATGTATTATTCAAAAGCTGTGTGGAACTATAAAATATTTTGGAGTTGCTTCGTATTTAAATGCTTTTAGATTTAATTGAGCTTACAATCGTTTTAAAACATTATTTTACTCGTATTTTTACTATTGAATTAAGTTGTTGATCAAAACTCTTTCAAATTATTTTTTTGCCAGAAGATTTTTCTTTTTGCAAAAGTTTGGCGTTTCTTAAAAGACAAATTCAAATTGATTTAAGAAAAAACAATAACTTAATCAAAGATTTTACATTTTTTGTGACGCAAGAAAAAAATTGTGCTTGACCACAATTTGATAATTGTAAATGCAGAAAACCAAATATAAAGCTCAATTTTTCTCTTTTAGAACATTTTATGAGGAAATTTGTTGGACAGAGTTACCATGAATTGCGTTGTAAATGCAACTGTTCATAACTAAATACGCTCGTGGATATGTCATTGTATACTGTATACTGCATTTAATTTATCCCTAAATTTCACTACTGTCCACAAATATTTTTTGATTAGTTTTAGAATACCTGGTACCTGATAAACATTTTAAGATTGTATTTTACAATCAGCAAAGTGTCAAAACAAAAGAAAAATGTTTACAAAAAATTTTTTACAAAAGTTAAATTGAATTTAAATCGGTGTAGCTTTTTCTAGTCAATGATAAATAAATATTATTTTCAAATACAAAATATGATCTGTTATAAGTAGTTTATTAGAAATTTATGGAAAAATGGTTAAGATATTCTGGAAACCAAAAAACTTAGTGTAAGGCAAATCCCACATATTTACATACATAAATCGATAATTTTTATTAATAAAAAATGTACATGAGAAGCATTTAATTTCCCGTGGTTCAAATTTCAGGTATTCTTTTTTAAATAAAATAAATACATTTAAATTATGCATCAGGTCGCTGACTTATAATGAACATATGAACCAAAGCTACGCCAGTGATGTTTGCATGGAACCGATTTTTTGGTTCGTTGACAATTACACTCACTTATTAGGCCCAGTAAGTTAAAATTCAAACAATTTTGCTGGATAACGTGAATTATAACAATGTTAATTCTTTTATAGTTCTTTGTGTGCGGTGTAGCCGTGTTAACTGCAGCTGTAGTTTATATTTGTTATTGGATTGGTTTGCCTTGGTGGTGGAATAAATCACCTGAAATGACTGTTATACTACTTATTATAGGAAACTGGCTTCTTTTAAATGTCATATTTCATTATATTATGGCTGTTATTACACCACCAGGTAATCCACCTGAGGTATGTTATAGAAATTAAGTTTCATTTTTAATTAATATAAACATATTTTTAATCCAGGGTGAACTTGTGGAAGCTGTAACAATATGCAAAAAATGTATTTTACCTAAACCACCTAGAACACATCACTGTAGTGTATGTAATAAATGCGTCTTAAGCATGGATCACCATTGTCGTAATTAATAATGCTATGGAAATTATCTATACGAAATTTTTCTTATATTTTTCCCATATTTTAGCTTGGTTAAATAATTGTGTCGGATTTTCAAATCATCGATACTTTTTTCTTTATATGTCCTATACAACAATTGGATGTTTATTTATTATAATTTTTGGCATTCAAATTGGCTATGAATATCTATGGCTTTCAAATGAGGAAAGTTGGGAAGAAACTGAGCCTTTGATTGGGCATCCTGTCAAATTCAATTTAACTGGACATGTGATTCCTATTGTAAACTATACATGTAAAATTGAAAAATTTAAAAGTTTAATTATATATAAATGTTTTAGACCGACGTTTTAAACTATGAAGATTTAGGTATTGAACCAAAAAAGCATGATTTGCCTATACCCGTTGAAGGTACAAGAACGTCCTCTGAAAAACGTGCTATCACATTTATGGCTTTTGTTTGCGTCGCTGTTGTTATAGCTTTAGGTTTATTAACGCTTTGGCATGGAAAATTAATATCAAATGGCGAAACGAGTATAGAATCGCATATTAATGCTTCAGAAAGAAAAAGATTAGCGAAAGTCAATCGAGAATATATAAATCCTTACAACTTTGGCACAAAACAAAATTGGAAAATGTTTTTAGGCTTAGAGGGTGGAAGGTTAGTAATATGATGATAGTTACGATTTTTTAAAAGTAATAATTTCCTATACCCTCGTTATTTAAAGGTCAATATGGCGACATGTTTTACTTCCCTCGTCACACAAACCAAGTGGAAATGGTTTACGATTTCCAACAATTCATGATGATAATAAACAGAAAGATGAGAGTAAAGAATGGCCATAGCTCAATTATTTTTTCCGCAATAAGAGTAACTCGAATTTTTATGTTAAAATTTTTTTTGTGATATATTTAAGTTTTAATTATTGAGAGGAATTAATCTTTTTTTAATGAATTCCAAATAATTATTCTAAACAATTCATATAATTTAAAAAAAGAAAAAGTTCAATTAGAATTAAATGTTTTTTAAATAATAATTATAAAACACTTAGCAATTAAGCAAATAATTTTTACTAGAAAATGTCGATTTATAAAAATATTTTAAACGCAAAATTTAACAGTTTGAATTTTTAAATAGAAACATTCAAAAATTGTTCTATTACTTCAAAAACGTATTGCAATAGAACCGTTGAATTCCTTTAGCATAAAGTTCGAGGTTTCGGAATAAGTACTTTGGCATGTTTTACTCTTAAGATCTAATGCCAACAATTTATACTAAATCAGCCTCATTTTATTGGGAACACGAAAGTGTACATATACATGTAAGTATATTTAATTATTATGAGTAATTTATTTAACCGTAAGAAAAAATCGGTTATTTACTTCAGCAGCTTTAATAATTTCTAATTTTATTAGCTTAAACTAAAATATAATTTGAATAAATAGATAAAAAATGTATAAAATATTCAGTATATATTAGTATAATATATTGCATTACATTTATACATACGTAACAATTTTTTTTAAAAAAATTACTTCTTGATCACTAAATTATTTGTTAGACGCCTTACCAACCCGGTATTGAAAAAATTGGCCATAAATGATAAAACAGATTTCTTTGTTGGCCTGCAATTCTTTTTACCAGCTTCTTGGCAACATACATTAGGAAAGCAATCCAAAGTTGAGTTACATGATTTTGGATGTAAATCGAATATTGGTGGCGGCGGTGGCGTGCATTCTAAGTACTCCGACACTAATATATGAATCAATAGTTATTTTTTGTTTATTTTAAGCATTTTCAAGTTACATATTTTACCATATGCAAGTGGTCTTCCAATTTGAAACGGAACTGATTCATATTCTGGTGTAGATGTCCTACAATATCTATTTTTTCCATCGGGACAGCAAACTCTCGGCCAACAATCATCATCAGTATCACAAGTTTTTAAATCCCAGAAAAGTTCAGCTAATGGTCTTTCTGGACATTTTCTAGGTATAATTCCCAAAATAGCTAAAAGGAAATTTTAACATAGAAAAGTTTATGTCAAATAACTACTTAAATAATAATTTTACGTGAATGAGAAGATTCTTCCAATGGTCTTGGAACACCTTTATGACAATTTCTACTATTAAAAATTGTACAGCAACGAAATTCTTTATTCCAACTCGTGCAATCAGAATGAGATTTACAGTTTGGAGCAAATAAATTAAAATGAGCTTCAGTTTCTTTTGGACAAATTAAAGAATCATTCGACAAAAATGATTTTGATAAAGATTGGTTTTGATCCAGCTGAAATTTTATAGGACTATTGGAAACATTTTTTTTCAAAGCAGTTGTTGTCCTTGGTTTGTTTGTTGTTGTTGGAATGTATTTCTTAGGGACATTATTAGTGTCATCTGATGATAAAAAAGGTGATTTGGTTGGTAAGTCCGGCTTCGCTTTTCTCTGTTTTGTTGTTTGACGTTTTTTCGACTTGTCTATATCTTTCGCTGAATTTTCTATAAATAAAAATGCAATATAAGATCTTCATGTATTTATAATAATTTATGAATAATAAAACTTGTTTTGGGGCCTATTACTGTTACCTTACCTACTTATTGCTCTCTAATAAAATAAAGTCTCATTTAAACTAGAATTGAATATTCAGCGCTAACAACAAATACAATTTTTTAATTACATAATTACGATTGTAAATAAAATTAAGAGTACCATTGTGGGTCTAAAAGATGAATTTACTCATTTTACAAGTTTAGGCGTATATATTTAGCTAATTAACGAATAAAATAAATAATTTTTAATTCCAAATATTTATTTATATCACACAAAATCAACATTTATGGTTAAGCTTTCCTAATCAACATTTTTATATAATTTAGATGCAAACTTTTTTTTTCTGTATTGAATCTTTAACTTTAACCGAAGTTTTTAAAAATAGATATTTATGTGAATTTTTAAAAAAAAAATAGCAGTGACAACTATAATTAAATGCATTTCGCCAATTTCAATGACCTTGTTAATAAATTTTCATACCAAATTTAGTTTATTAATTTTATTTTACTGAACTCTAAAATTTGGGTTAAATATTTAAGTATGTATGTACTTCTTTTTAGCATCAAGGTTAAAATGCAGGTTTTTAAAACTCGTTTTTCTTAAAAAAAGCTTTAACATAATGTATATACCTACATTCATAATAATGTTATGCGTTAAGAAAATAATTATGGTTTAACTTTTATGTAAGTATTCCAAATATCTACGTAAGATTTAGTCATAATTAAGTTGATATACATAAAATTTTCAAAAATGCATTATACACAATCATGTGTGCAGAGAAATTATTAACAATATTAGTAATCAATAATAATATAAAATATCAAGCATAATACAATGATAATGATATCAAAATTATAAACATACGAGTAATTTTCTCTCCAATTCTTAAATCTGAATTAAAAATTGAATTTACTTGAGTCTATAAATGAATTGTAATGCTCAATTCTAACTAGACATACTCTTCTTACCTTCTATTGCAATAATGTGCATACAATAATTGTTCATATAGAGTAAAGTGTAAAGTAATTTATATACTGCGCACAGCTTCATATAATTGCAATTTAGATATTTAAAACTTATGTTAGTTAAAACTTATATTTTTAATTTTCCCTATTTAAGATTAATTTTTATTATTCTTAAACTGATATACAAAGTGCAATTTGTAACAAATTCTCTATAGGACAAAAAATTTAATATTTTAATACTTCAGTATTAAGTATTTTATGATTTTCTTTTAAATATAAGATTTTATAGTTTTATTCAAAGTTTAATTAATAAAACTTTTATGATCCTATTCAAAATTTTAATTAATTTAATAATAAAAAAAATTCACAAATAATGTTAAAAAATATATTGTAATTTTATAGAATTGTGTTTACCTTGACCAAATTAAATGAAATTGTTATGATCTTTTGTTCTTTAAACAAACTCTAAAATTGTTTTCAGAAACTTTTATATTTTATTCTTTAAAATGGATGATGAATTAAAAAAAATATGAAATATTTTTTTGTTTATTCATAATTTATCATCACTAATATTTTTAACGTAGATAGAATTCATAAGTAATATGAGTGTTCATTTATTTATGGCACCATATACTTAGTTATTTATTGCAAATTTATTCTTTGATGCTAAAATACATAACTACGTAATTAAGTAATTGTTATGCAATTTTTATTTTTTAAAACAAAAAAAAAAGCATTTAAAAAAAAAAGAGTGGTATTTGAATAAAACTTTTATAAAGCTGAACAAATGTCGGGTTATTAATCATATTTGTTATTTTAAAACCACAATTGTTTGGTTCTCAAGATCAACCTTTATTAAGATGAATTTGTTAATTTCAAAATTTTAGTTATTAATTCTATGTAAGAGAGACTAGTCCAATTATTCAAAAAATTTTTCTAATTGAGTTTCTCTTGGAAAAAGGTGATACTTTAATTAAACGGTAGACTCTTATAAAGAAGACTTTTTGTTAATTCCCAAATTGAAACTAATAATATCTAAAAAAAACTATAATATAATCCAAAATTTGGGCCGTAAGTTTAAACAATAAATATCTTGAAATAAATGCTTATCTTTTATTTTTTTTAAATACCCTTATGAGCCTTTTGAGAATGTTCTCTGAGTACAATACACATGTACATTGATACTGTAGGACATCTACACCAGTATATGAATTAGTTCCATTACAAATATGGAGCGAAATCGCTATAAAATTAACTATATTATTATTATTAATTATCCTAAATATGAAATAATTTTTAAAATTTTTCTAAAACACTCAATTTTCTTGTTTAAAATCACTACAACTTTTGATATCATTCACTATATTACTTATCGCTTGAAAGAAATGAATACGAGTATGAGTTGAACAATAGATTTGGTACTATTTTCCATTCACGCTAAATATGAGACTTAAGATATTTGGACAGCGCGAAATAATTCACATAAAAATTAGAAATAATTATTTTATAATGTATTGCATGCTTGTTATAAAGAATTCCTTGAATTAAAACTATACTTGTACTATTACATAGGGTATAAGATAATAGAATTTTGCTGAACTATATAAAACAATTATAAAATTTAATTTAAAACAATTAAATAATACTACATATACATAAATTACAATATACCAAAATTTTTATATATTTTTGTTGTTGTCTTCATTCCATATATTAATTTATCATTATGATTTGCATCGTTATCTGCCTGATTACTATTATTATTATAATCAATTTCGTTTTCATTGTTAAACAAAGAGTTTTTTACAATATTATTAGGATAAGTGGGCAATTCAATACGCTGATTATTATACCGTGATGTTGTAGTAGGGGTTTTTATTTTTGATTCTGTTTTCAAAATTGCAATATTTTTTGGTTCTCTTTTTATTTGTGGTATTGCCGCTATTGTTGTTGTGGGTTGTGTTTGAAAATATTGTCTCGATTTTATTTGTTGTATATTAATATTTTTTTGTTTTTGAAGTACCGTTTTACTACTACTACTATTATTATTATTATTTTTATTATTATTATTATTATTGTGGTTAATCTTTAATGTTGTTGTTGTAGTAGTCGCTATCAACCCAATATTTGGATTAATTTTGAATGACGATCGGGTTGCCGATTCAATTATATAAAAGCTTAAGAATATTAAATAACTTAAAATAATTACTTTCATTTTTTTTTTGTTTTTTTCAAAATAAATTTTTTATTATTTTTACTTGATTTTTGTTTTTTTTTTTTTTGTAATTCTTAACAATGTAAATTCACCTGAGGTTTTTTTTTTTAATTTTATCTTTTTATTTTACAGGCAATTTTGTATTTACTTATTGTCAAGTACTTTTTCTGTTTTTTAGTTTACTATTTTTTTATTACCTTCTACACTATATAGTTATAATATTATTTTAATATTATTTGAAATTATTATAGTCTTGATCACTTAATATTTTTATTATGTGAATGTGGTATTTATCTCTTCAAGGTGATTATTTGGTTAACACGCTACACTGGATTTTTGCAATATTTAACTAGATATATGCATAAAGTAAAAGAGATTTGTAATATGTATGTATATACAATAATATATGTTTTTTTTTTGTGTAATATTTAACAAGAGTGAATGCAAACAAAATATTGGATAAAAGCAAAATTTTATATGCAATAAAATATCAGCATAATTATTATTTTAAGGCAAAATCTTTGTTTTTAATTTTAGATTAAATTTACTATTTATTACCTATGCCAGTATAAATCTTTTATAACAGATATAATGTTGGAATGGTTTCAACTTTTTTATTTTTAATTTACTACAGGATAAGTTTTTATGTTACAATTTTAATGTTAAATTTTAGCTTTATTGTTAAAACTTTTATAACCTCAAATTAAATTGTTAACCATTTAAAATTTAATTTGTTATATAGAATAAAGAGTAAATTTAATTATTATTTTTGCATCAAGGTATAATTGCTTGACCCTATAATGCGCTGAATAGAAAATAAATATAATTTTATAAATGTTGGAAGAAAAAGTAAATAAATAAAGATTAGTTGGAATGCCGTTTATCTTACCGGTAAGAATGCCGTTTTACCGGTAATTTAATTAAAGTAAATTTTTCAAACTGAATGACCTAATTTCTAGTCTTATTTCATATATGTATGTTTATCCAATGATTTTTAAATGAGGTCGATCTGAAATTACAAAATCGATCCTTTGTCTACAACCGCCCGCTCTACATAAAATTGTACAATTTGCAGATTAAATAACGCAATATTTATTCCGTTTAAAAAAAAAATCACGGTATATTGATTATTAGATAAATTAATTTCTGTTTTTTTTTTGTTTTGTATAATTCGCAAAAAAATTAATTTTATGTAAAATTTATATTTTTTTGCACATAAAAATTGCTTTTATTGTTTCTCAATTCTTCTTTGATTTTTGAATTTTTTCCTTTTTAGTAATTTACGAGTTTATTGTTACAAATTTTTGAAAGCTTTTCTTCTCTTTTTCTCTTTTATTGCAATTATTATCAAATTTTCTTTAAAATATACATAGTTGCATCAACAAAAAAATATTGAAATTCTTACAAAAATAATATGTTTGTAATAATTTTGAATAAATTGTATTGCAATTTGAAATTTATATTGTTTCAGTGGTATGAAAAATAACGGTAAGTAACCTACAATATTTTGTATTTTGTTTTTTTTTTTTTCTTACACTTTACATGCTTTATGAGTTCTTTAGAAATAATTTTGCAAATATTACCAAAATGTGTATTAATTACTTTTACACTTTTTTATTTTGAAAAATTAATTAATTTTTTACAATATTCTCTTCCGGTTTCAACAATATTCACTTTAATATTGTATATATACTTTATAACAAAATTAAATTAAAAAATATTGCCTTAATTTTGAAATATCTTATTTTATAGTTCATTATAAATTAAAAAAAACCCAAAAAAAAACAAAACATAAGTACAAATTAGGAAACTGTAAACGAAAACAAAAAAAATAATAAATAAGTAAAACGCGCGCGCTTTGCGCGAAACTCAACTACTTGCAACCAGGTTCGCCACAAAATTAAAGAGATTATAAAAAATTAAAAAAAAAAAAAACAAATTGCATCGAATTTGGATCGATCTCTCATATTTTAAGTTTAAAATTTTTTTGGTGATGGAAAAAGCTTTTTTTGTTTAAATTATAAAACTATTGCTCGTATACTAAAATATCTTAATACTCGGATATTATTTTGATTTTTATTTATCTTTTTCTTATACCGTACCTGTATATTGTAATTTACTCAAAAAAAAAATTTTTTTTGACAACTTTTAATTTTTTTCTCTTTATTTATTAAACATTATGCATTTCTACTGTTTACCTTTGAAGTTGCATTTCATTTTGCTGCAGTATAAGAATTCTTAAACTTTTATTTGTTTGAATGTTGACTTTCATTGTTCAATAACACTTGCATATGCAAGTTAACAACAGTAATGCACATAATACAGAGAGTAATAAACGAGTAAACATCAAGGGTGGAGTGCTGAATTTGAATGGAAATTTTTTTTTTATAAAATTCCAATATCAAATTTCCGTAAAAATTAATTAAACTTTATGACGTATAAATAACCTGAAATCATGAGATTAATTTTAAGTTTAACTAAAACTTCTAATGGAATACAATGAAATTTTGGGATAAAATCGAAAAATATTTTTTTTTAAACTTCGATAAGATTAATGTAGCTAATTGGTGCCTAAACTGAAGGGGCATAGTCGAAGTCTTACCACAAAACTATTGAAAATATTCCCGAGCAAGTGAAAAAGTTGATCAAAAGTTAATTTAAAAACTTCTACGTAAAAGAGAATTACAAATATAAGTCATCCGGTCAAATAATACAAATAAAAGCCGAATCTTCTAATATCCTAGTAAATCCAATTTAAGAAGATTAATCTAATCAAATCGACTGACGAAAAATTGGTCCTTTATTTTAAAAATTAAGTTATAAAAAAAAAATATTTCCGTAAAGCACCGTACAAAAGCTGTAAGTTGAAAAGGAGTTACAAGAAATTTGGCGAATTCAATGATGCAGTAAATAAAACTGAAACGATTTAATGGAAATCTGATAAAAATATGCTTCGTGGGTGTATACCGTCGAAAATCTGCTAAAATACTCTGAAATTTTTAGGTATAATCAAAAAAATCGAGTCGAAACTATTCAGCATTCAGCATTGAAACGATTAATCTTGTTAACCTACATTCTAATCTTATTAGTCATATATTTTAATCGTATTATATCTAATGATACAATTAGTATAAAAAATACTTAATTTATATTGTATTGTATTTACAATAACGATTCAAATTCCAATTCCCATTAACTTTTAAAGGTTAGAAACGCAACCTTTTCACATCACATTTTAAATATATTGGACAAAAACTTTTTTCTATTTCTTATGATTTAATTTTCATTAATAATTAAAACATTTGTACTGTTCATACATACATAAACAATGATTAAAAAAAATTATATCTTACGCTTAAATTTATGAATTTGTAATGGACGATTTCATCTTTCTGGTTATTAACTCTATAGTTTAGTTTCAATAAGTTATTGCTTAAAGTTATTCAAAATTCAAGACAAACCGCAAATTCTTTAACGTCAAAATTTTGATTTTAGTCTGCAAACTGTCTGAAACTAAAACTTTTACGGACAGAAATCTAGTAAACTTTTTACCCGTAATTGACTTTGAATTTTGATCATCCGTAAACGTCAAAACAAAAAAAAAATTTTTTTTTAGATTTAAAATAATTTTATACTTACATATTAAAAATTAACAATAAAAATATTTTTTATATTATTTTTAACGTAATGATAGTCACTCAACACATCAAATTTATTTACTGAATTACTGCGTCAGACTGTCTGCATGTAAAAAAAAAAATCTACAATTTTGACGCTTAATTGACTTTTTTTAAACGTTTAAGAATTTAAACTTTGACTGAGAGTAAAAACGTAGTAGAGTATCCGTAAACTCAGACAACTCAGATTTTGTAAAATTTGACGTTTAAGAATTTACCAAAATTCTTACCTCACCTAGTTTCGGTCACCTTAAACAGTAACCACGGCTTTATTATTTATAATATTACCAAATGACCAATTTTTAATCAGCTCTATTCGAAACAGTTTTTATACACAAGTTTTCTTGTTAGCAGGTTCAAATCTCACAATCTCTCTGAATATTAGTCATTTATTTTAAATTTTGTGTTAATTTCCCTTTTAACAAAGACTGCGGAATGAACCTGAATATGTACTGCATTTCATATCGAGTATAGGATATGCATGTAAAAAATTTTCTTTTTATGTCTTTAAACTTTTTCCATTACACTTTGTTTGTGAGTTTTTCATTGCATTTGAATTTGATCTTCTAACTCTATTACCTACAAATAAATAAAATATTGAAAGTTATCTGACATACATATACACATATATTTATGTATTACTGGTCACAAAATCCAAAATTTACAGTTAGAGATTTTTTAATTTTAATATACATATGTATGTACATATATTTTGTTTTTGCATTATACACTGCACACTCAACAGATTAGCATCTCTTACATATCTGTTGAGTTTTTCAATTATAATGAAAAGTTATATGAAAATATTATGTAATAATTGTGCTTTAAAGAAATGCATTTAAAATCCTCTCACCCCACGTTAAATTTCAACTTTTCGGTGTCTATAATATAAAAACCCAAACAAACTTTTTAAGAAAATATCAGATTCATACTTATGTTGAATATCTGGGTGAATGTTGTTGATGTAAAAAGAAATTGAAAGTAATTTCCTCATATGAGAAAACAAAAACAAGAAAAAAAGTATATATAAATGTATGTATGTATGTATGTATACGAAAGAAAGTAAAATTACGAGTTGAAAAGTGCCTTATAGCTATAATATTATGCATTTATAATAATATAATGTATTAATAGGTATGCACATACAATTATGTATAAATTGTAATAGTGATGTCATGATGGTTTGATTTATAAGAATAAATGAAAACAGGAAAAATAATTCGATTTTGGAGGAGTGTTTTTTTCTCAAATTCTCAATGTTGATTGAGCAGTTGCACAAATAATTATTAAATATTTTTTATTAAGTGAGTATAATTTTATATTAATTGATTTTTGAAAACAACTTTATAATAATACATATACAATTTCTTGGAGCAGTTAAATTTTAATTACTTAGAGCAGTTAATATTGTTATACGATATAAGAACGTATATGTATGTAATATTTTACATAAATAAAATATAAATATTGTTTTGCCTCCTTTGCATTTCTGGACCTGCGGATAAGAGTAGTTTACATCTACTTGTTGTGGGTAACTTGGTTGCCCCGGTTTTATTGAGTCGAATTTCTTACAGTGGGAATCCCAATAACTTTAGCTTGATAGAGCTTTTCAATGTTCCACCTTATAATGCGGACTATAGGATGCATAAGACAATGACGCACAGAATTTACGGTAGCATTGATTTGGTTTAATTTTTTCTTAATTTATGTGATGCTTTATTTCATTACGAGTATACTGTTAACTGGCGGCTTTGCTGTAATTCTATTAATTTGTTTTAGTTATTACTTTGGTTGGTTAGTTTTTAATTTATAACATTTAACATATTATTACTAAATGAATATGTATAAAAGTATGTAAAAAAGACTTAACCAATTATGAAAGACTATAGAAGAAAATATGAATTCCCAAACAAAAAGTTTTTTTGAAGAAATTTTAAGGAACAAACAGTTTTAACAAAAATTTGATAATTTTCTAATTTAAAAGCTAAGTACCAAAAGTGACCAAAAATAAAAATCATGTTGTTTTTGTGTTAAACCGCTTAAAAAATTAGTAGTATTCAATAATAAGCAGTTATTTACATCACATAAGAATTACATGTCCCTTACCACATTTCGAATATTTTCCAATTAAAACAAATAATCTGGCAGATTAACGTATTAAAACACTTTTATTTAAGGCATTATTAAAGTATAAATATATAATGTATTATATTTTACTTAGAACTTTAAATTTAATTAATAATTTACAAAATTAATTAAATTTTTCAATTATTTAATTATTTTATTGTATAATAACAATACTGAAGAAATAATACATTTAAATTAAATTATGTATAAACATCTTTATCATTTTGTATTACTCAAGCAAACCATATTCATAGCATGTATTTCATTCCAGTCCAATCGTTCATATGCACATAAAACATTTAATTAAGAAAAAGAAAAAAAAAAACAATTTTTTTATTAAGTTTGCAACAGAGCGCAATTTTTTTGAAATCAAAAAAACAAATTACTGTGATATATTTTCAATTTCATTTGATAATTTAAATCACTGAAAGGCCAAGATCATGAAAAAATGTAACAGTCATGTTCACAGAAATAGAAATACATAATTGTTTAATGTATAATGCATATATATACCAAAGCAATGTAAAAAAGAAAAAAAGTATAAAGAAAAAACCCATAAAGTAATAAATTAAACTAATTAAAGGTTCATGATATGCAATGCCATTATTTTTTCACATCTGGTGCCTATAACGATTTTTTATGTTATTACTTCATAAGTTAATTCAATTGCAATTGTTTAAAAAAAAAGACAAAATAAAAATTAATTGAGTAAAAAATTATTCAATCTTACAAGAAGATTGAGAAAAATGTTTTTTATTTGGATTGGTAATTTTCAATATAAATTTCCACATACATATGTACGTATGTACATATATAAATGGCATAAAAATTAAGCAAATGAAAAATAAAATTAAAAGTTGAAATTAAATTTTTATATAGGTTACGTTTGGTTAAGTTAAACAAGCTTCCCGTAATTCACACCTAAGTCACCAGGCCTGTTGTGATGTCTCTCTCTTTTCCTGCCTCAATTCGAACCAGATTATAACAAATCTTTCTTTATACTCAAGTTCTAAAGTATTTTTAAAATTTTTTTTTTAAATGCTGCAAAAATACTTGTTACGTTGTTCTACTTACGTATCTGGAAATGTATCATTTATATAATCATTTATATTATTTATATCATTTATATAATCATACATCATAAGTAATGATACAAAATTTAAATCTATAATGATACAAAAAATTTTCTTAAGATTTAAGTTAATATCCCTTTAAAAATCATAAGAATGCCTATAAATGTACAAATGTACACAGAGCTTAAAAGATCTTACCGAAACTACTAAGAGAACTCCGATTTTGTATGTATTTTGTACAAATTAACCGTTTCGTTTTTAAAACGACTGCAACTTAGTTCTGTTTTTACAAAAATATTTTCCATGACTAAATTTAATTACATAATATAAATTATAAATTTATGATACAATTATCATGTTTTTTGTCAATAAATTCAAAAGATAATTTATATAATGAAAAAGCAATAATTTTGCACTTTTTTTATTGTCTGAATATATAAAATTTAAGCAAATATATGCACATATATGTAGTTTGTAAAAATTTGTAAAAAAATTTTATGTTAACAACTTTATAATTCATAAATATAAATTTATTGTTTTTAAAAATTTGTATTAATTAATTTTTGATCTGAAGCCGTTAGATACCAATTTAGCCACATCAGATACATTACGACCTCTTGTTTCTGGAAGATAATATTTTGTTAACAAGAATAATAAGGCACATGTTATCGAAAAAGGCATGAACACAAAAGCTCCCCATGCGGACTGCAAACTTGGAAATGATATTCCAATAATAAAATTGCATACCCTTAAATAAAATAAAGAGATTTTTATAATACATTTGTATACATAAAAAACAAATTAAAAATAATTACCATGATGATAAGCTACCCATTGCCATTGCTACTGGACGTGACTCAGTTTCGAACAGTTCTGTAAATTAAAAATAAAATATAAGTTATTTTTAAAATAAATAATACATTTGTATAATCGGTAAATACATATATTGCACATATTAACCCGAAGTTAAATAAAATTAAAATCCAAAACCCAAAACTTACCTGAACCAATAAAGTAAGGTATAGGTCCCAATCCAAATTGGTAGAAGAATATATAAAGTAAAATAGCCACAACACATGCTATTGGAAGCCAAGAATTTTCATTCTGTAAATAAGTAGTATTCGTTACATTACTTATCCTTTAAAAAATCTTTAAAACTAAAAAAGTGGAATCGCGTAAATTTCAATGCATGAAGGTTGAGTTATTCTAAAAAATTTATTCTTTTTTATACAAAAAACTTTCAAATTTGAAATTTAAACCTTTTAACCTTTTTATTATTAACCTTACTATAGACTTACTATGAAATATATAATTATCCCGACAGCAAAGAGTAGTATAGCATCGATTCCACATGAAAACATCATAAGAGATCTCCTATTATAATTTTTCATCAGATAGGGTCCTAAAAAGGAAGTAAATAAGTTAACACAACCTGCTCCCAAATTAGCCCATTCTGCATCAGTTTGACTTAATTGTAGAGCTCTTTTGAAAATTGTTACAGAATAATAAAAAATCTAAAAAAACAACAATTGTGCTTTTAAAATTATAAAAAATTTAAAAAAAAATTACTGCGTTTATTCCCGACAATTGTTGACCTCCCATAAAAGCCTAACATTAAGAAAATATATATATATATATAATTGTTTCGAATTAACATTATTTTTCTTAACTTACAGCAACAATGATCAAAGGTAATAGCAATTTAGAATTTTTCAAGACACTTAACATGGATTCTTTGTGAACATTTTGTGATTTATACACTTCCATTTCTTCTAATTCGAAGTTAACATCTTCCTCATTGTCTTTTCGAAGTCTGTACAATTGCGTTCTTGCATCGTCTATTCTATCTTTGACGAGATAGAGATATTTTGGACTCTCAGGAAAATAATAAGCAAAGATCACACCAATAATTACTAAATATATATAGCCACTTAAAGCATAATGCCAGTATTCCTCAGTGCCGAGAACATACCTTAAGCTTACTATTTGACCGACAACAACCCCACCTGTAACACCTATAGCACAGAAGGTTCCTAAAATTTTATTTTTGATTACACTATGTTAACTGGTTTTGAGATAACTAAAAGCAAAAAATTTTTTGTAAACATACCCAAAGCGCCTCGTAGTGCCAGAGGGGCTATCTCTGTTAAATACATAGGTAAAGAAGTTGTACAAAGTCCTGAAGCTAAACCAGCTATTAATCTTCCCAGCAGAAGCATTTCAAAAGAATTCGCCTTCCGACAATAGTAAAAAAGAAATGATGCCACAATAAATAATTTGCAACATATCAAGTATGATCCTCGCCTAAAAGATTAAAAAAGTTAGTGAATAAATTTTTTAAATTCACAAATTACAATATAAATCATAAACTATAGATACACAAAAATTAAATAAATTTAATTTAATATTTATTTCGATTTTTACGTATATAACAAATAGGCACTCTGAACCATATGGACCGTATTAATTTATTGAAAGGAAACTAATTTTATTAATTTAATATGTATTAAAACTATGAAGAATCTTATAATTAAGAAATTATCAATTTTGATATTATTACCAATGTATTTTCTCGATTAGAAAACTAACTATTAATTTAATATTGGAAGATGTTAAACACGTTCTACAAATTGCAGTATTCCAATACCCAACATGCAACAACATAATAAACGACTAGCAGTTAATAAACAAGGCATATAAATCGAATTTATGAATGGCGCACAAATGCACATAATCATTTTTTTGACATAGGTATATACGTATTATAATTACCTGCCAAATCGATCTGCTGCCCATGCCCCTCCCAAACTTCCGATAGCACCGCCAACGAGAAATATAGAAACCACTACAGATAACAGAATATCAAGTGAACCATCTTCTAGGGTAATATCAAACCTTTCTACAAATGTTTGGTTACACCAATCTCTTATATACTAAAAAATAACAAAAACAATAAAATTACAATTGTGGATTTTCTAAAAATTTGTATCGCGTCACATTTCAATTTTTAAAATGTTCCAAAACCAATAATGTTTTTAAAAAAAATTATATTAATTTTCCAACATTGAATGTATAGAACTTACATTTGATGGACTATTTATAACACCAATTGTATATCCAACTGGTATGGCTGAACCAATTGTTGTCAATATTCCAACGGTAGTAACCCAAAAAGTCCATCCAGCAGACTTTCTATCCTGAAAAATACAAAAAATAGTTTAGTAGACATACCTAATTGTTTTTGGATTATTCTATGTATATATGTATGTATGTAAGTATGTATATTTATTAAATAAAATCAAACCATTGAAATTTTTGTCGAAAAATAAAATATCTTTTAAATATTTTGCATTTTTAAATATATTTCTCAAAATATTGATCACAACTATTTTCTTTAGTTGTACTTTATCAGAATTCATAATCGAAGCGTGAGTATGAATTTATATTAGCCTGCATATTGCTAAGAAAGCTTACCGATGAAAGCCTTGATAACAAATAAATTTTTGTGATAACAAATAATTTGAAAAATCTAATAAAATTCTAAATTATAGCTACATATATAATTTAGCTATTATTTAAAAATATTTATATTTTTGACAGATTTATACCTAAAAAAGTATGTAAGTATATTTATGTAGAGGTACTCATTAAGGATTTTTTTATATGTTCAGCCCCTCATTAAGATTCCTTTTTTTAACATTGCTATATTTATGGCAAAAATTTTGGCGAATTGTGAATTAAGTTAGGGTGTTTTTGAATTCTAAGAGTACCGTAATTATCTCAATAACATTATTCGATAACGATTCGAATTAAATATTAAGAAATTTTTTTATATTATACTAATGACATTCCTCAGTTCTCCTGTGTCAGTCGACCTGTGTTTTTTCAATAGGATTCTTTTAAAGCTCAAAAATATTTATATAATGTATATTTATAATTAATAAATGTATATTTGTAATTAAAAATATATATAAATGAAAACTTAATATTTATAGGTTTAATATTTATAAAATATTATTAATATAAATACTTACATTAATAATATAATTTTAATTATTTTTTTTTTACTTCTTCTTTTAAAAACTTAAGCAAAATAGAATAGTTCGTTATAGAATTCATTACTTAATTTGTTAAATAATGAAAAAAAAATTTAAAACTGATATTTAATTAACATTGCATTTATAACACAGTCGTCAATATTAAATTCTGTATCACTATGATTTTTACTCGTCCTCTTCTAAAAAGTGCTTAGGTGGAAAAAAGAAAATTTTTTCTATATTTTACTCGATCTTTAAAGGATACTGTCACCCATATTCGGTTAGTCGAATCTTTTGAGGTGATGGATATTATTGGAAAGAATTGTTTTTATATATAGAACTTTAAATTTCAGAATTGATTTTATTCCGAAAATCACAAAAATTTTGAATAACAACCCATCAAAGATCTATTATTGAATTAAGTATATAATTACATTACATAAAACAAAAAAAGGTTTCAAATAAAAACATAATTTATAGACACACGAACTATGCGAGCTAATTTATTTCTTTGCAGTCCCACGGATAAAAAAGAGCTTAACAACCACTGAACTAGACAATATCTAAATGTTTTAATCCTGACGTAGTAAGAGTATCTGTCAGCCGTAGTTTTAATTAATTAAAATTTTTGGTATAGCATCATTAGTAATTGACATATTCAAAAATTAAAAGAAAATAAGTAAACATACCGACAACTAACAAAACCCAACTTATATTTTCAGTTGGAGTAATTTGATAACCTAATGACAACATATTACCCCCTAATATACTTATGTACACATATTATTCCGAATTCCGAACACTTAAAAGATCACTATTGTTAAACCGAATACTATATTGATAATTTTGTTTCAAAAAGCTAAAAAAAGCTATTTACGTAATATACACGTTTTTAACATTCAGTAGACGAAATTATTTTTGCATGTGTTTGTAAACATATAGGGTTGTAAATATGTATATACGTAGTAAAATATTTTGGCGAGTTTTAATACCATTTAATAATACATAAAAAATAGACGAAATACTCCTAATTGCCTAGTGCGTACCAATAACATATTTTTAGTACCCATGTATTCACGTACATTAGAAATTTTGTAAAATATAAATTTATGTTTGTATGTAGGTGGATATAATATGTATTTTGTATTTTTATTTGAAAACACTCTTACTTTAAATTCATCCTGGTATGGCAGTGTTAAATTAATTTCAGCTTTATTTTCTTTAAATAAAACTTGAGATTCTTGTTCAGAGATATCGGCATTTGCCATTGTTGTACAATATATAATTAATATAATAACAATAAGTTAAATGATAAATTTAATAATTTCAATTAATGTTTCTGCTAGTTTCTAACACTCTAGATTTAAAATTTTAATAAAAAAAACTTTTTGGTTTGCATATTTAATCACTTTTTAATCTTATCAACTTTGATGTTGATTTTATACTAAGCAGTTTTGACATTGAAACACAAAATAAATAGGGTCTCTGTTAATAATACTTTCGCACAACCATTAAAATTTAGGTCAATTTATAGTATTCATGCAATTGTAGGTTAGATTACTTTTTTGCATATATGCACGTTTGTATGTAAATAAGCAATAGCTATATACATTAATATATACATATATATTTAATTATGCATTTTCCAAGTTCAAGTACACTAAATCTTAAAAACACAAGCGACTAAAATTATCTCAATTATTTACTTATATGTATGTACATATGTATATATATGTATTGTATATCTCTCTACAATAAATAGTAAACAAATTTATTTGCTACAATATTATTCTTAGGATTATTACACCGAATGATTTTCCAAACATGTCAAAACTTTTTCCCGAATGCAATTAAAAATAGTATTTTTAAATAAAAATTATGAATAAAAATAAAAATATGTAAGTACTTCCTAATAGTAATACGCACTACGCACAAAAAAAACTAACTGTACTGGGCAGTGAGCTATTACCTATATACAAATATGTAGTGAATACATCATATTTCAATGGTTACATCACTGTAGCTAAAAAAGGCCAAAATATTTTTGTTAAAGAAACTAATGTTCAATGAACTTTGTTTGCCAAAATGAAGCATGACTTTATTTACTTTTGCTAATGTCAAATAGTACATATTATAGGGTTGAGTCAGAGCGTTTTCGTTTTTTAACTCAGAGGTTGAATCTGATAAGATTTAGGATTGTATGTAAGAGAATAATCTGATTATTTAATCTTTCTTTTATTAAAAGAAATTTGTTATTTGAGAGATAATATAAATTTTAAAAATGAAAGCTATAAAGTGTATGCTGTTATTTAATAACTTAAAGTGTCAAAATAGTATGTGAATTATAATCAATATCTTACTAGAATTCTGACATAAATTAAGTTGAAAACAGAAATAAAAAAATGATCGCCGCGAATTTCACCGCTGGCGCTTAAATTTCTATTTTCACTCTGGGGTTTTTTTTGGACATCATCTGTTTCAATGTTTGTGTGACATTATATGCAAAATAGTTTTGTTCTTTTTTTAGGGTTTTAGGTGGCAGTAATATATATAAACCAATGAACTTACCAAGTGCCAGGCGTGAAATAAAGCAAAAGCGTTTCACAACAATTCGCAATATATTATCTTTTATACCATGTACATAGGACAAATTATTTCAATTTGTGAACTCCATTCATAGCAAAAAGAAAACGCAACTAAAAAAAGGTTTTACCGTTTTATTTTGACATTGAAGTAATCCATTGAATTTTAAGGTAAACTAAAATGTTACTATTAAGATGTCAGTTTTTTCAAAAAATTTTTGTTGGTTCTTTGCCATTTCACATTTTTATTTATTTTTAAGCAATTGAATAAAAATCACATTTTATATGAATGTGATATGAAATTAAATAATCACATTTTATATGAAGTGAATATGGAACAATATTATTTCATAAAAATGAATGAAACTTTTATCACGAATGGCAGGTAGGTACAAGTCGCCTAGAAACAAGTACATTCTAAACGGTGTAATAATCACTTTCGGAATTTTCATTAAGATTAATCTTGTTAAGTTCATATTCGAATCTAATTTTAAGAGCAAGTTACTCAATTGATTATACATATAGAAAATTCTTAAGATAAAATTATATTGGGGCTTAATCTGAGTATCGAATCACTAGTTATTATCGTTAAAAGTTCGATATTATTATTGTAAACACAAACCAATTAGTATAAATGATTTGCGCTCATATTACAGTTTTTGAAACTGTTACGATAAATATCACTATCACTCAGTGATTTGATACTAAGAATAAAACTTAAACCGATGTTTCACCTAAAAGCTAATATTTTTGTTTGAGGCCCGAAATATTAAAAATATGAAAACATTTTTAGCGAAATACAATTAAGACTTTATTAAGGCAATATTTGCATGAGATCATCATCTAAAATCAGTCTGGTTAGTCAGTATTGGTAGATTATTCATTCTAAAACGATGAAAAATTAAAAATAAAAATCTAAAATGAATGAAATAAACATAGAATTTTGTTAATATAAGTATATTTTAATTGCAATAAATAATACAAAAATTTACATTATCAGGGACTCATTCTTATTAGAGCTGAGTTTGAAAGATTTGACAAAAGTCTGGTTTTTATTAATATTAATTATGAAAATACTGCAATTTAATTTTTAAAAGATTCAAATAAAATTTTAATGATGTACTCGTATATGTTATAGGTAGAATAATTTTTTTTAGAAAAATTCTTGGAAATTTTTGGAGATCAGTGCCACTTACACTATACGTTTTTTTAAATTTTGAATTTCTTCTTTTAATGCATTTATTTTACCTTGCCGATGTCGACATATATTTCTCAAATCTTGATTAAGTTCTTGCAAATGTTTTACATCATTTGTTTTATATTCTTCTGTTTGCACGTTTTTTTCTTGTAGAATACAACTCTTTTTCATTTCAACTTTTCTTTCGTATTTGCTAATCTCTGCTTTCAACTGCTGAATTTCTTTTATAAGCTTTTCTTGTTCTAATTCTTTATTTATTATTACTTCTTGCATTGTTTTTTCATTCTTATTTAATTGTGTTCTCAGTTTATTTTTTAACTCTGTATTATACTGAAGAGTGTTTTCCTTTTCGTTAACAATATTTTGTAGCTTCACTTCATACATTTTCGCTTGTTCTTGTAATAATTTTTTTCTTTCTATTTTCTCCTCAATTATCACCTGTCTTAAATGCTCCGAATATTTCTTAGACTGCTGATCAATTTTATCTTTTAAGGTACTTATATCATCATTCAACTTTTTTTTTTCACTTTCTTTTTCAAGTAACTCTTTTTTCAATTTTTGAATTTCGTCTATCATCATATTGTTATTAAGTTTTAAATTCAAAGCAATTATTTGACTATCCCTAATTAGAAGAGTTTTTTTTAATTCAGAAATTAAATCAGCAAATTCTTTACAATTACAAAATTCGTTTGTTGGATCAGTCATAACGGAAACTTCTTTGAATGGTTCAGAAAAAAATGATCTGGTTTCGTCATGGCAGCTTTGTCGTCTAAGTTTTCTCCAACTTTCTGTATGCCTTTGTTGTTTCGCTTCTATTTCATCACAGAGCGTCTGATTTTTTAGTTTCAACTGAGTAACTTCGGTTTTCAAATTATCTATTATTCTTTTATATTCCTCTTTTGATTTTGAGTGGGCTAAAAGATAAATTTTATTTGACTGGATTTCTTTCTCATATTGACAGAGCAATGATTTAGTATCAAGAATATCTTTTTTCAACTTTTCATTCTCTTCTTTAAACTTTATAATTTCATTTAACTCAATTTGCATTTTGGAATATTCGTTTTTAGTTTTTGAAAATTCGCTTGAAATATCATCGTTTTTCGCTTTTAAATTAATAATTTCATTTTGCAGAGTTTTTATGGTTGTTTCCATTTCAGCAATTTCAATTTGATCTTTCTTCCCTAAAAGTCGTTCGTTCTCTATATCCTTCCAATGAGCTTGTAAATTTTTTATCTGATTTTCAAGGATGTTTTTTTCTTTCTCAAATTCTTGGTTTAACTTTTCTAGTGACTTTTTGTTATTTTCAACTAACCCTCTTAATTCAATTTCCTTTTTGGATTTAATTTCTTCAATTCTGTGTTTTAAATTATCAACTTCTGAATTTAGGCTGTTTGTCTCCTTTTCTTTCGTACCTAAAAAAAGCTTTTTAACATCTGTGGAAGTGTTTTTTTTTGTAAAAGTACCTACCTGCTAAAACCTTGTAAAAATGTAATTGCTTTTTAATTTCTTCGACTTCATTTTGTAATTTTTCTTTCTGTTCTTTTAAATGGCTTATTTCACTTAAATAAATTTGGTTGTCGTTCTTTATGCCCTCTAAACTACCTAAAATGTTTTCGAGTTTTAAAATTAATTCTTCATTTTCACTGACCAAATCATTATTTTCTTTTATTGCTTTGTTATTATCAGCTTTCAGAACGGCCTTTATTTTTCCCAACTCATCACATTTATTATCAAACTGTTGATTCAAAAATTTATATTTATTTTTTAAATCCTCTAATTCGAGTAATACATTTTTGTTTATAGTGTATAAGTTTTGTTGGGATTCTTGTACGTCCTGGTACTCTTTTGATTTAAGTTTAATTTCGGTATTCAATGATTCATTTAAAACTTTTGCCTCATTCAGTTTTTCAACTAAATTTTCGTTCATTGTTTTAAGGTTTTGTAGTTGGCATTTTAACTGATCAATCTCTAACTTGTTGTTGCTATTATCCAAAACAATTTTTTCATAAGAGCATTGTAAAACATGATTTCTCTCATTTAATGTATGTTCAGTAAGTTGAAATTTGTCCACCTGTTTTAAAAGATTTTCGTTTTGAATTTGAATTTCTTTAATTTTGAGATTAACCTTGTCATTGAGGAGTTTTAAACCTTGAGTTTCAGTAGCTTTTAAATTAAGTTCGTTTTGCAAATTACTCACTTGCTTACTAAGTATCTCACTTGATATTTTCATTTCATTATTTTCGAAGGTTAACATGTCTAAACTGGTTACCGTGTCTAAGATTTTTTCCGATAAATTTTCATTTTCATTTCTTAATGACGACAATTCAAGTTTCATATTATCGTTTTTATGTTGCAGTTCTTTAGTTTGCTCTTCAAAAAATTCCACTTTGTTTTTCAAAACACAAATTTCGCCCCAGTCTAACTTTTCAGCGCATTTACATTGTTTGATTGGTGAAAACTCAGAATTATTTAAAGTGTTTTCTAATAAAGGTATTTTGCGTTCATTAATAAAAAGATTATGCATTTGTTTTTTTAATATTTCAAATTTCTCACTCGTTTGGGCTGTTTCATTTCGTAGTAATGAATCGATTTGAATCAGTTGATTTTTGAAAAATGGGATATTTAAAGAGAATTTTTGGATTATATTTTCACAAGTGTTTAATTTCCTAAAACAAAAACAAATAATCATATATTTCTATTGCAATAATTTTATACATTTCTTACCTATTTTTTTCTTGTAAAATTGACTCCAAAATACTTAATTTCTCTGAAACCGTTTTATTTTCAATACGAGCCATTCGCATATTTTCACAAATGCTTTGGAGTACTATTTCATGTTCTTGTTCCAGTTTCCTTATATTGTCAATCAATGAAGATATAAAAATTTTTAGGGAGGAGCATTCCTGTTCCATAGCATTAATTTGCTCATTATTTTTTATTATTTTTGCTTCTAAATCAAGTTTTTCTTCAAAAAGTGATTGAAATTTCTTTTGAAGTAAACAGTGCTCCTTTTTTTCTATTTGATTAGCACATTTTAAATTCACGAGCTGTTCATTTTGTACACTCAACTCAGTTAATTTTAAACTTTTGCATTCAAGATCAATTTTAGTTTTCTGTAATTCAAGCTCAATTTCATGAAAAGTTTCTTCAGCTTTCAAATATTTAGACTTCAAATTATTACACATTTTCTCCAAGATATGATTGCTTCGATTAATAGCAAATGCTATTTCATTTTCCTCTCTTTTAGGACTTGGAATTGTCGCTTTGCTATTATATAATTTTTCAACACAGTTACCACATAACTTACAAAAATTGTTATTAATCTTATAACTTTTTTGCTGAAATATTTCAATATTATTCCTGTTTTTTTCAAGTTTTCTTAGACATTCATCTTTCTCTTGTATAAGATCTAATAACTCATCCTCACGAATTTTAGATTTATGCTTTAATTGTTCAAATTCAAATTCAATGCTTACTTTGTCTCTAATTTCCAAATCTATACTTCTTTCTTTCTGTAATAAGCTTTCCCGGAGTTCAGTTATAATGGCATCTTTATTTTCTGTTTCAATTTTATATTTTTCAATAACTGTATCTAGATCTAATTGAGCAATCATTAAGTTTTGTATTTTTTCATCCTTATTTGAAAGTTCCAAACGACAAGCTTGTAACTGGGAAAGTAGTGAATTTACCAATTCATGATCAACGCCGATTTTGTTTTCCAAATTTGTAAACGTTTCCAATTCTTTATACTTTCTCTCTAACATCTCATACTTTTCTTGAAGGGACTCTGAAGGTGAAGAATCTAAATTTTCTGAATTTCTATTAAAATTAGGTGTTTCGCAATAATTAACATTATCATTTAATATTATGGGACTTTCTTTAAATAGATCATCATCTTCGTTTTTAGTTAAATTCCAATTGGTATCGTTTCTATAAGTAATTAATGGTGTTTGAAAATTAGGAATCCTACTAGCTAAAAGTTTTGGTTCACATTTTAAAGACCTCTTAGATTCGTATTGAGAACTTTTTTGAGTATTTTGCGTAGAATCACTATCAGCAGATGATGGGCACCACGTTCTTCGTCTATTACGATCAAATTGACATTTTTTTAAAGATTCTGAGTTAACAATCTTATGAGTTTCATTTTTGATTTGTTGTTCAAGCTCTAAAATTTTCAATTTACTATTTTTTTTTCTTTCCTGATCTAGTTCACATTGTAATTTTGCAACTTTTTTCTCTAATATTCTCATCATTGCAGCATCTGAAATGACCTCATTTACATGAGGCTTGTTTTTCACAGTTTTTGCTCTCATTGCAAAGTTCAACGTTGAGTTAGTTTCATCAATTGTTGTCAATTTTATATTACATATAATAGCTGTAAGTGCATTACCTCCTAAAGATGCTTGTAGTATTCTAGTTAATTTTGAATTACGATAATTAATGTAAGAATATGACTCTGCATTTTCACTTAAACTTTTTATAACGATTCCCAATGAAAGAAGACTTTTGTTTATGTGACTACCTTCTATTAGCCTAGAGCCTGTTGCACCTGTCTGATCAGCCCTCTCGGAGCCGGCCAAATCTACTAGATTTAAACTACTAATTTGGAATGCTTCAGTGTCAGTTTCATGCACTTGACTTTTCTGAACTTCCCGAGATTCCACTGTTAGCTTAAAAATGGCGTGTGAGCGACTGGATCTTTCATTCATGTTGGTTTCTCCACACTTTCTGAGTTTATTTCCTTTTTGCAAATGTTTCCATATATCTTCTTCATTGGTTACTATAAATTCAGTGCAGTCAACAGTTACTTCTCCAGCTGTTTCGTGAATTTTTAAATCTTTGTTGTCTTTGTTAAGAAGATCGTAAATTTTTTCATTGTATATTTCTATATAACCAACACGCAACAAGAATAATCTCTCTAACGATTTTTGAATGAAATTAAATATTTCTTTTACAGCCAAATTAATCACACCTGGATTTTCTTCATCACCTAAAAATCAAACAAATTTTATATGAATTCACATCTTTTAAAAATTGATTATTTCTTGTATCAGTTTATTATTCTCTTCAAGTTTCTTGAAGCACAAAAAAATACATACCCAACATAGTATATGTTTTCCCTGATGATGTTTGTCCATATGCAAATATTGTTCCATTTATGCCTTCCATACAAGAGTTCACTATAGGTTTTACGACCGTATTAAATATATCTTCATTTGAAGAACAATGATCAAATATATGATCAAAATAAAAAGGTTCTGCTTGACTTTCAACTAGTTGAATTGAATTATTTGAAATTTTCCAATAAACGTTAGAGTCTTTCTCTTTTTTTAGTACTGGTCTTGCTTTAATAGCAACTTTTATATTATCAGCTGACATGTTGGTAAAATAATTTAAAATTCAGATTGTTGAGTTCAGTAGTGTATGTAGCAGTCCAGATATGTGCTAGGGTTTTTAAATTTTCAACAAGTTTTACAGTTCTGTAATGACAAAACAATTCAAATCCAAATATCCAAAAATATTTAAACCGCCTTAATTGTCAAATGTCATTTTAATAAATTTTTTTTCATTTAATGGTGATGTCGTTTTACTACTTTGTCGCTCTGTCGTGTAACAAGCTTGTTTACACGTGAATGTGCAATGAGCGTATGTTCAGCTCTTTTCTATGCTCCTTACAACCACTATCAGATAAAAAGGAGCCGCGCTTTTTAAAGATTATTTTAAAAAAATCAGTTCCTAATATACTCTTTTTGATACTCTTTCTAATTTCTCTTTCTTGTTATTAAACAGAGTATATTTAAATAGTTTCACGTTCTGTTCGACTCTCCGTTTACATAATACTAATGCAATCACTCGCCAATATTTGTGTACAAAAAATTGCCTTACCTAAAAGAGTTAAGAAGAGTTAATATTTCTAAATTAGAAATTCTAATTTTCATTTTTGTACTCGTAGGAATAATTACTGGGAGAGGAAAATAGTTATAATTTATATAATATAACTTTATAAAATGTATCTTATAGAAAGACAAAAACGCAGTTTTTTTTATTTTAGAACTTTAAATAATAATGTATTTCCTTAAGCAATAAAATACATTGTAAATAAAAAGATTAAATACATTTTAAATTTTTATTATTATGTGATCGATATCTACATCTGATTTAATGGTTGAACATTGCTTCATACAAACTGCAATTTTTTCTTGAATAATTCTTTTGTCTGCAAAATAATTGAAAAATTGTAACTTTAAGCGATTCAGAACATATTGGCAATATCAAAATCTTACCAAAGGTTTTATTATAGAAGAAATGTGTGATTTTTCTTGCTACCTTCTTGAATGTGTCTTTTCCAACAATTTTTTCTCGTTTATAGTACGGCATCAAACACTGTATTACAATATTTGAAAGGTTTTCTTTAAATCTCTTAGCTTCTTCCAGAGGCAATCCCAACACTAGGCTCGTATGATTTGTGGTTATATTCATTTTAGAAGTATCGCAGCCACTTTGAGATTGACTTTTTTTTATTATCTTGGATTTTTCTTCTGATTTGATTCTCTCACTAATTTCAATTAGATCTGAATATTTTTGTGGAGATGAACTCGATAACTCAGAATGGAGATTTTCTAACACATTATTCGCATCATTGATTTGGTTATCAAAACTCATATCTCTAGAATCCGTTTTATTGCAAAAATGCTTGCTATTTAAGGTTTGGAATCTTTCTAAAGCTTTTGAAAGATTTTCAGTATTAGCATTAATGTTGGAGCTATTATCCAACATTTTTTCCACCGATGTACTATTACCTATATTCTCTTTTGATGTATCTTCGCTAATTCCATCTGAATACGCTGATTTTTTTTTAGCTTTTTTATTATTTAAACTTTCCACGCTACCAAAAAGGTTTTGAAATTTGTTTTGCCTTAAATTTGAAAATTCTAGATCATTTAATATTTCCGAATTTGATGGACTTGAACTTAAATTATCTGATTTGTGTATTATATCGGATTTAGATTCATTTTCGTCTAAATCACTAGATTTTGTACTATAAGTTTCATCATCCGGAGATGTTTTATTTAAACTTATATTTTCTGAATACTTCATATCATCTGATTCAACTTTTTTGCCATCCTTCACGATTTCTGCCTTATGTTTTTTAAATGTAATATTTTGAAATTCATCACTGGAGGTTTCGTCATCATCAATGTATGAAACTTTACTTTTAAATTCTTTTCTAGAAATTGTACAACAATCGAAGTCACTATCACAGAATTCTTTAGAAAATTTCCGTTTCGAATGTTTCTTATGCTTTTCATCTCTATGTTTTCTTTTTGTTTTTCTTCTTCTCACCTCGGAATCTGCTTCAATACTAGAATCTGTCATATAGTTATTACTATCTACATCAAAAGTATTTATATTTGAGAATTTCGAAAATTTTTTTCTGGAAGATTCTAACATATCTTCAAATTCTTCATCTGTAGAGCACCTCTTTTTTATAAAAAATGTATCAATTTTTGTTTGATTTCCTATTTCTTTTTTGAATTTTCGTTTTGGTTCTGATTTCGTGAGTTCGCTTTTGCTATTTAAATATAACTCCAATTTATCACTATGATATTTACTATGGCCCCCATGAGAATTAACCACTTTAGGTATAAATTCTTTTACCGCAGTAATAAGTTTTGTTTGGCTAGTATGTTTCTTTATATCCATCATCTTAAATTATAAAACAAACACGTAATAATTATCGTAAACCAAGATTTTACTTATTACCTGTTGCGCTATACTTCTACGATACATACTTAGAACCTTATTCTTTGTAAAACACTCATATTCAATTTCTTTCGCTATATCTTCAAAATCAACGTATTTATATTTTTCAATTTTCTCAGTGTTTTCCATAGAGTTTTCGATATTTGCACTTATGAGATCTGCTAATGACGTTAAATATGATTCCCGTAAGGAAATTGTAAGACCGGACACTTTTGTTGTTGTAGAATGCGGAAATTTTACTCTGGATATCTGAGTCGAAGGTTGCATGTCAAGCTCTTTCGCAGATTTAAACTGTTTACGAAGTTCGAACTGCTTTTTTATGAACAGTTCTGTTTCCATTTTATGTTTCTCATCCAATTTATGTTCAGTTTCGTCATCATCACTGATTTCATCGTAATACTGATTATTAGCGCGTCCACCTAAAAATACATCAATTTAAAATAAAGTTTTTCAAAGTGAAAATATTATATAAATTTTATTTTTAAACGAGCCTTCATACAAATCAGAAGAATCTTCTAAAGATATATCAGTTTTGAATTCGCTTCTTACAGTCAACTTTTGAAAGAATTCTATTGCTTTTTCAACCTTAGCCGGATTTTTGCAAAAGTCACACTGCTTTTCACATTCAGGTTTCGGGTCACCAAAATATTCTGAAAACAATGTGTGTCGGCAAAATGCGTTTTCACAATATTTAATCATTTTTTGGAACTCTTTAAATGCCAATTCAGCTTGCTGCAATGCCGAATCGTCTTTAGATTTTTCAACTTGCTGTTGCAAAAGAAAATTTATTGACCTCACATCCTCCCGGCAATAATAAATTCTGCAGTAAGACAAAAGACCATCACGACCAGCTCTTCCCGACTCTTGATAATAACTTGCGACATTTTGTGGAATATCCCAATGAATTACAAAACGTACCGATGCATTGTCAACGCCCATTCCAAAACTGACTGTAGCTGCTATAACATCGAATTTTCCCGAGGCCCAATCCTCCTGAATTTGAAATCTTTCACGATTTTTCAAACCTGCGTGATAAGGCAAAGTCTTTATTCCAATTTTTGTTAAACAAGAAGCCATTTTTTCGACAGCTTCTCTAGTTCTGCAATAAATTATCCCTGATGATTTACTTTGTTTTGTAGAATCACAATCATTTGAGTAAAGAGCAAATTTTATGAAGTTTTTTAGGTGGGTAAAATCATCAGGTATTGAATTTTTAAAAACTACGTCATAAAATAAATTCTTTCGGAAACTTGGTTTTCTGAACATTGCGACAGGCTCCTTTAATTGTAAAGAGCAAATAATATCATCTGTTACCATTTTTGAAGCTGTAGCTGTTAAAGCGATCCATGGAATTTCAGATAATTCTGCCCTAAGTAATCCAAGTTTTAAATAATCCGGACGAAAGTCGTGACCCCATTGACTAATACAATGTGCTTCATCAACCGCTACAGCTGCAATTTTATCGTATTTTGAGAGTGATGATATTACACCACGAAATGTTTTCGTTGCAGCTTGTTCTGGAGTTATATAAAGGAAACGTATTTCTGTACGTACATTTTTTAAATCTCTCAAAACATTTTCTCGTTCTTTAACGCTCATTTTCGAGTTCAAAGTATCTGCTCGAATTTTTAGCTTAGCAAGATGATCCACTTGATCTTTGATAAGAGCTAATAACGGTGAAATCACAATTGTTACTTTATTGTCCTGTAACAATCCTGGCAATTGAAAACACAAAGATTTTCCAGATCCAGTTGGCATTGAAACAAAAACATCGTGCGTCCCTATTTCAAATTTAAAATTTTAATACAAAGTATGAATCCAAATATGCTGCATACCTTCAGAGAAAGTCCTTACAACATCTTCTTGAAGCTGATTTTTAAATTTCGAGTAACCAAAATACTTCTTCAATTTGTAAATTATATTATCCTTTTCTTCAATTTTTTCCATGCTAATTGCTTATGTACCAGTGCTAATAAATTCAATAAAAAGTTATCATATGCTTTAGACATTTTGGTATAGACAATAAAATAAAGTGGCCAGATGCAATATTGAAAGAGATGCCACACATCTCTCAATTGTTTTGTTTCAAGTAATTTTCCTGGAAAATATAAAATACGTCAAAAATCGGTTAAATTAGTCTCAAAAAATCTTTATTATTGACGTTATTTTGAAATTAAAATATTTGAAAAAATACCGCGAAATTTGAACTTGAATAAAAATTTTTAAAGAACATGATGTATTGAATTACCTAGCGAGTTAAAACTTAAGATAATAACTTTACACCAGGGAAATGATAATCGTGAGGTTAATGCCACATCTACATAACTCGCAATTATTGGTTTAGAGATATTGACTTGTAAGGATACAAAATTAGCAATAATTTATCATAAAATTATCTAGTTTTGATATTATAATTTTCAGATAATTAAGAACACTTTTAAAATTAGATATTGATCGCAGATGAAAGGAAGAGCATTCGATTTTACGACTCCTAGGTTAATTATCTAAAAATATGAAATTTTAGAGCTATCTAGTTGTGATATTAACCTCACGATATGTATTTGAACCTGCATCAAGTTTCGTTAGAATTATGTTGTACAGTTAATAAATAAACTGTCAACTTAAATAATTTGTATTTTTTTATTTATGTACTCATTCCTTGCATAAAGTAATTTTTTAAAACAAAATATTTCTTCAATGACGTCACATTTTCAAACGTCAAAACTATTCGAGATATATTTGCTGGTTCACCAAAAACTTATTTTCTTAATTCATATGTATTATGTTTTATGTGTGTATGTACCTAACCGATGGAGTTTGTATTTTGCAGCTTAATAGCAATAAGCTGGAAAATTGAAAAATGTCCAACTTTTAAATATTTAAGTTATTTAGGTATTTATTTTTAAAAATTTGCAGATTTTGCTGAAGATTCTTTTTTTGCTGTAAGAGACGGTGTATTTAAAAGGCAGTCTTTTTCTGAACAAGACCGTTGTAAATTCCTTTTTCTTTTTCAAGTTAAAATTGCTAAGATTTCATTTTATATCTTTTCTCAATTGTTAGAATCTTATATAACATATCCGCCTTTTCAACTTAGTTTCGTTTGTACGTATGTATATAAGAAATTGAACCTTATTCTTGGTTGATGAACCTTATAAAATATTATTATAAACATAAATCCTTCTGTAAATTAATTTTATAACTACAAGGCATAAAATTAAAAACGTTTTAATAATTTTGAATAATAAGTATACAGAAAGAACAAATTTAATTCAAATTTAAATGCGCAAAATGTGAGTACAAGCTGTTCACCTACATAAATATGATTCCTATATGTATATATTTCAAACAACAAAAGCCAACCATTCTGCAGGGTTTGTAACTGTTATTTTTTCGACTTGTTCAAGAGTTAAACCTAAAATGAAATCAAAAATTATTACTTATACTTATATAACATATTATATTTAATAGAATTTTCAAACCTTTTCCGTATAGTCGAGGTAAAATATTGGAATGTATGTGAGAATATCCATGACCACCAAAAGAAGTCTGATAACATAATAAAAAAAGAAGAAATGCATAATGATTTTTTAAATTCTTAGATAGACATTTTGCCATTACCAATCTATGCTTAGTATGAATATCATGGGAGAGTAAAATTCTGTCTTCCAAACCTTCAGATATTAATTTTAAAATGTTGTTAATTCTTTGTGCGTCAGAAATCATATCAAAATCTGGATTAAGTTGGTAATATGATGTTTGTGTTCCAAATAAATCATATTGTAAATAACATCCCATTTTAGAAAATTCTAAAACTTCATCGATATTCAATGTTCCTTAAAAAATTATAATATTAACTATCAATATTAAGTTCAAAAATTTTAAAGTGTTCACTGTCTAAATGCGACATAATACACTTGTTAGCGTTCCCTCCAGCTTCTAAATACAAGCGCATAATTTCAAATGGTGCTTTCTGATCCCTTCCTGGATGAAAAGATACTCCACATTTTAATACTTCTTGAATCTCTCCAGTTGCCATTATGCAGTGTTTTTCAAAGTCTAATACGTACATAATTCAAAAATATTTTTTATTTGATTATTAAGTTTATATTAGTTCGCTTACCGTGAATTGGCCAGCTACTTCCAACTTCACCAATGAATCCACATTTAATCATGCCCTTGTCTTTTGTTTCAAAACCTGTAATGATTTCTTTAGAATACATATCCGTTAAATCTTCTATTTTCATTTTCAATGTAGATGGGGACTGTGTTGAGTGCACCTTTTATTGAATGTAAACTTATTAAAAGTTAGTAAATATAAATATTTCTTATTACTTACATAATGTCCTGTCCCGGCAACAATGTGCACACCGGTTGAACTAGAAATTTCGTGCATCAGTTCTAAGTTTCTACGCAAGCCATGTGAAGTATTTTCCACAATAGTACCTCCTCCAAGTTTTTTATATAAAACTACATCTTTTTCTACAGCATTATGTGTTTCTGAGTCCCAAAAGTGCAAATTATAATCGCACGAGTATGGGTATTGATTAACAAACCCAAAGTTTTCTAAAGTAATTTTTCGATTTAAAAAATGTTTTAAATCGTCTGGAGGTGCGCAATAGAAGTTTTTAAATTCTAATGACATATGCTCATGGGTTAAAACTCTTCCTAAAAGTTTTGGATCAACAGGACCAAGTACTGCAATTTAAACAATTTTTCGTTTTAAATCCAGGTTTATGCTGGTAATGTTTTTTTAATTCATTGTGAACATTAAAAAAAAAATTTATTTGCATTTAGTCCAAAAATATACTTATTGTCCCAAAAACAATTGTTAATAAAAATTTTAAATAAAAGATCATGTGATCTACTAACGTTTATAAATAAATGTGCATTTAAAAAATTTTAAAATAAGTTGGTACCTACATATCTAAATACTGTATAATTCATGTTTTAAATTAATTTAAATTTAAAACACGAATTATACAGTATTTTAAATATGTGTATGTACTTATATACATAATAGGATTTATCCAAAATAAAATACCTGTTTGAACGATTGCCATTTTAGATAAAGCGAATAACCTTTTTTACATTTATACCTTTATAATAGAACTCTTGTATATAACTAATAATTTTTTTATGGTAATACGCTGTTGAACCTTGGGATAGATATAGATTAAAAAATGTTTATATGTACCATCTTGTGATTGTGACATTAATTTATTATTTCATACGATCTGTTTTGTTTTCGTTTTTAATTTTGTTTACCGGCTTTTGGTCTGCTTTACACTAAAAGTCATCAACATAACGTAAAAACAGTAAACGCATTAACGGATAAATCTGTTAAGTGCGCTATAAATTAAAATGTACGCAAATATTTTTATGATTGCATACATGGGTATACTAGCTTATAATAAAAGAATTAATAAAATGCAGTATTTGTAGCATTGCATTTTTAATATCGTTTATGATTTACGGTCTTATTCGGATTGTAAATATCTCTGCAGAGCTGTTGTCGATTAATTTTTGTGACATTTACTCTGGTTGAAGGTTAAAAAGCGCTGCTGCTTTAGTTTTAATATAGTTATGATTATAGTAGCAATTAAACCTAAATTAATTGTAAAAACATAACCGAAGCAACGATTTCCAAAATTTTCAGCAAACGGTTTCCGGTGTTAACACAGAGCAACAGGGGAACTGCAAAATCATTTGTACAATATTTTGCATATAATGTTACACATAAATGGCAACAGATAATGACGAAAAAACAAAATAGGTTTTTACTATTTAGGCTATTTTACCGTCGGCGATAAAATTCGTGACGGTAATTTCGCTTGATTCTGGGCTGTCTCATTTGAATTTGCACATTCTGTTTTCGAGCCATTAGCTGTTTGTTTTTAAACTGAGAGATTCTTTATCAATAGTACGTAATTGCAAGTAAATAAAAAGTAAAAATGTAAAGTAAAAACGTTTTATAGGCCCATTCACGAGGCAATAATTAAAAAATAACATTATTTTAATTTTTATGTATAATTTGACATTGTCAAAAAATAATTTCAGTTTTTTTTTTAAATCAAGTTATTTAAAAATTAGTCTTGGGGCTTATTATTTTATTAAAATTTAAGTCAGCCTTTATTTTTTGTTTCGTGAAAGTTATTAAAGTTAGTTTTCAGAGAAAGTTTTCATTGAGATGAAAGGAAGAGAACTTAACAAATTTATTATTTGTCGCCTTACTGATATCAGTGACATATCTTACCGCTTGTGTTAATATCCTATGTAATCTAGTACGGTATTATTTAAGAATACTTAGATATTTTACTACTTAATTGCAACAACGGTGTTTTCATGCATTTCTGCTTTCAAAAATCAAATTGTGTACATTAATATTTTATTGTTTTTTTTTTGTTATTAATGTAAATGACAGAAGAATGAGAGAATTGTCAAAAGAGGATAAAAAGTGTACTTCTGAAAATTCAAAAACTAGAGAAAGCCAAAAACATACATCAAACATTGAGGATTTTGTAGTAATTTTAAATGGAAAGGTGTCTAATTGGGAATATATATACACACACTTTTATCATTTAGTTTGGGTACATTAATTTGAAATAAGGTTTTTTTAAATCCAAACTTATGTTTACAAAATTATAAAATCGATAAAATTTTTATATTCTGATACGTATACATTTTTGGTATTAAAGGCGAGCTAGAAATCCTTAACACAAATTTTCAAATTTGATTGCAATTAAAAATAAGGCAAACTTTTAAAAACAGTAAAATGTTTTAAATAGAGTGAAATTATTATTGCAAATGGTAAAAAAGTATGGGTAAACAATAAAAAGTTGTAATATCATTTCAAATTTTAGAGTAAAAAGAAAATTGTAATACCTAAAATGTCTATTAGAGTGCAATTTGAGATCGGACATAAAGCAGTTTTAAAAACAAGAAAAGCAGAGAATCGTTTTACTCATGATTGGGAGTTGTATGTAAAAGGCGTTGATAAAGCTGATATAAGTTCATATATTGAAAAAATTGTTTTTAATTTACATGAGTCATTCCCAAAACCAAAACGAAGTAAGTAAGAAATATATATATTTAACTACCTACTTATATTTCAGGAAATACATAAATATTTCTTTTAATATTTAGCTTTCAAAGAACCTCCGTATGTGCTTAAGGAGTCAGGTTACGCGGGATTTATTCTGCCTATAGATATACATTTTAAAAATAAAACCATGCAGACATATCAATATGATATAGATTTGCAACCTTCTGGTCCTCCAGTACATAAGTCCGAGATTAAAAAACATATTTTTGAAAATCCATCCGAAGATTTTCGCCAGAAACTTTTAAGAGGAGGCGGAGTTTTACTGGGAAACACTGATGAAGAAAGAAATCGCCACACTGAGTCTGAATTTCAACATAAGCCCAAAAATTTAAGTAGCAGCAATATTGCACAAGATTCCTTAAAGAAAAGTCATAAAATACGGCAAGAAAAAAGTAAAGTTCAAAATTTTGAGAATATTTTTGGTAAACCTATTACGAAAACAACTGTTACACCAAATCCTACATCTAATCCGAATATTACCTCATTAAAGTCTTCATCTTCATCGCAGGAACAAAAAGTGAAATCCGTAAATACAAGTACCGCTCAAAGTTCAAGTACTTCAAGGGTTTCCAGTCAAAGTAAACCTGATAAGATAGTTTCAAATTTGAGTAATTCAAATTCGAAAGAAAAAATTGAGGTAAGCGATAAAGTAGAGAGGAAAGAAAAACATAAGCACGGCTCACACAAAGATAAAGAAAAAATTAACAAGGAAGGAAAAGACAAAAAAGATGAAAAACATGAAAAACGAGAAGATCGAGAGAGAAAGAAAGATAAATCGCATTCCAAAGAACGAGATCGAAGTAATGAGAAGTCGTCAAAAACCAGAACTGAAAGTCCTCAGCGTAAAAAACCCAGAACGCAAAGCCCTGTTGTTGGTGCAAACAATATTCCACGAAAAAGTCCTTCTTGGAGTTCTACGACTGGAAAAGATGAAAACAAAAGCAAAACCTCCCTTCAAGCCTTACCGACTTCATTTCCAATTCAACCTCAACCACATCACCAAAATACAAATCAGTCACAAACAAACGATTCTGATAAAAAAACCAACAGCAGCAGCTCTAAGAAATCTAAAAAGGAAAAAAAATCTCATGACAAAGATAAAGAACGCGATAGTCGAAAAGAAAGGGAAAATAAAGCCCAGAAAGAAACTGAACAAAGCTCAAGAACATCAAGTGCGACCAACTACCAAGCAACATCTTCTACCCCTTCAGTTGGTTCGGCAACTTCTAGTAATACTGAATTAAACAAAACTCACAAACTAGATTCAGGTTCTATTAAACCACCATCCAAATCAAAGGCAGAGCAAAAGGTTATGACTGAGACACTTAATTATTTTTCAAATTCTAATACAACTAACTCAACATCCATTACCAAAAAAGTGACTGACAAGCATGAGAGTGAGGAAAAGCGCCATAAGCATAAGAAAAAGGAAAAAAGTAAAGATAAAGACAAAGAGAAAAGCCGCGATAAAGAAGCTTCTTCATTAAAGGAGAAAGACAAAAAACGAGAGAAAAAATTTAATAAAGAGGACTTTAAAAGAAATAAAGATGAGGATGTGGGTAAGTGTACTAGAATTCTTTTTCATAATTATACTTACTTATATATACTGTACTTATAACGCTAATAAGTACCTATTTTTTTAAATAAATGCCTCTCATACTAAGCAATCAATTTTTTTTATAGGATCAAACGCAACTTCAAGTTCAAATTTAGGTCCCACAGAAAGTTTGCACGATTCTCTTTTCAATTCGGACCACGAAAGTCGCTATTCAGACACAGATAAGGTAACTCATCATTCTGATAATTCCAGTCACAGTTTTGTTGGAAAGCTGAATAAAAATAAAACCTTTCAAAATAATGCGAGTACTACAGTGCATAAACCATTTTCAAGTGCGTTGCCAGTTCTTCCGCCATCTTCAAATGAAACTGTAACATCTTCTGCAGAGAAAAAGGATAAAAAAAATAAAGACCAAAAAGTAGAAAAAGAGGAAAAGAAACGAAAACGTAAGAGTCGGGAAGGGGCGGATATAAAAGTGTCATCTACCGCATCTAGCAATAATATCGAATCACAGCCGAAAGTTTCAAAAAAGAGTGTGGTTGATTCCAAAAAGTATGAAAAACCAGTATCCTCATTAACCCAACATCAACCACATGCCGTTCAAACATCAGATTCATTTAGGGCTCCTTCTGTATCAAGTAGCTCTTCAATATCAAATTCTTCAGTTCCTAATGTACAACATCACAACCCTATTTCCCGTACAAATATTAACAGCGGAAATATTTCCAATTCTGGATTTGACCTCGATTATATATCAGAACTTAAGGAATTACAAGAAAAAATTATGACTTTACAAGATAACAATGAACTGCAGAAAGTGGTGGAGATAATAGCGGCAACCGGACGGTTTGAAATCACGAATAAAACTTTTGACTTCGATTTGTGTGCTCTAGATCGAAATACAATACAACGGCTTCACGTAATAGTTTAACAATTGCGAACTTGGAAAAAAACACTTTCCTTCGTTTTTCTAGTGTTGGTGGCTAAAGTCACCATACATTGAATTAAAGTTTTAGCAGCTATTATAAAAATGTAATGATTGTATCTTTTATTGGCACTATCTTAAACTCATGAGTTTTTAATTATATTTTATTATAAAATTATAACGAATTTCAAATTTTTCATTGATATTTTATTTATCACTAAAAATACTTCTATAATTTAAATGCATGCTTAATTGTTAAAATATATTTTTAAGGGTGAAATTATTTATATGCATGATTATGATATAAAAATTTAGAATAGGTAAAATATATTTGTTAAAATATAACATATAAAATAAATCCTTCAATCAAAACAAATTATTAAATTTTATGATTTCGCAAAATATTAACTGCCCTCAAAACACTTGTTTACAGGTATATAATATACATACAATTATCAATACATACCTCAATATATTTACGAAAATTTGATAAATTGTAGTTTCCCCAAGATAACTTCAACAAAAGGAAAAAGGCATTATGGTTGGTTTGTGGTACTCGTAATTTTTAGTAAAATCCTTTAATTAAATAACACAATAGCAAACAGCGAGATTAATGTTAGTAAAAATATCAAAAAGTCAAAAAAACAGTTTTAAAAATAATACTTTTATGCACGTTTATTTGAATAACGAAAATCGTGTTTACATAAATTTGAAATGAATGTTAGGTTTACAAAAATGTAAAGTATTTAAGAAGAAAAAGAAAAAAAGAAACACGTTAATTTGCTTTTATAAGTCATGACGGTAAGCAGAAAATATAAATATGTAAGTATGTAAATGAACTAAGTTTTCCTAAATACATTACTTATTTCTAAGTAAGTACGGATTACATTACTTATACAAAAAATCAAATTAAAATTATGCAGCGCCGCATGTTGAAATAAAAAAGTTATATAAATTAAAGTTAAATAAATTTAAATTAATTTTTTTTAGCAAAAAAATAAATAAAGCATTTCATTTTTTGAAAATTGAAGATTTTATGTTTAGTTCGATTAAAAAATTTTCTGTTGTACGCTTGTCGAATCGAATCGACAAATGTAACACCAATAGTGGCGTATAATACAATAATTATCAATAAAGCTGCAATAAATGGTGTGATATAGATTTTTGCTTTTCGTATAATATGTCCACTTCGATGATTATGATCGTAGTATTCGTACGAAACAAATCCTTCTTCGAATGTGTATTTATAATTACATCTTTCACCATAATATCCTTCAGCACATAAACACGATATTATAGATGAGTCTCCTATAAGATAGTTGAAGCAACTTCCACCATTTAGACAGAACAATAAATCAAAATCAGGTTCACATTTATTTATTATAGATAAACGAGAAGATTCTGAATCAGGTACCTCTGTTTTATCATAAGCAGTATATTTGAAATCACATCTTTCACCGTAGTAACCGTCTGGGCATTGGCATGATATTGTGGAAGATTTCCCAGTCACATAATTCAGGCAACGACCACCATTTAAACAAAATAAAAGATCAAAATATTGTGTGCATTTTCTTGCATGAGTTTTACGCGTACGCTTAAGTGACGAACCTTTTCCTAAAAAAATTGATACGTACATATGTACATATGTACATACATATGTATATAATATATTTATTTCATTGTTACCTTGTTTACGTAAAGTTGATTTGTTTCTCTCAGTTTTATTTGATATTGAAGAGTTAAACGAAAAATTTCTGGGAACTTCTCCTGAATTTGAGACTCTTTCTATTAATTTTCTTTGGTTGTTATGAAGCGAAGCTATAGTTCCAATCATAACATCATTATTGTTACGATCATTACATGGAACATAGCCCCATTTTAAATTTTTAGCTAATTGACTTGAACAACAATTTGTCGCTATAACAAAAGTTGACAGCCCGAAAAATACATTAGGAAATTTAAAGAACGACAAAAACATATTTAAATATATTTTATGGGACTTGGAATATAAAATTTTGTTTATTTTATTACAGAGTTAGTGTAATCATAATTCTATTATTGATTAGATGCATTTTAATTTTATTTTGAAAACGATTTCGATGAATATACATAGGTAAATTTTGTACATTTAGTTTGATAATTAATTATAACTCCATTATCGGATAGGTAGGTATGTACCTAATTAAAAAATAAATTGAATTTTTTATTTAAATTTACAACCGAAGCACGTGCAGTGCAAACCGACTATACAGTAAAACTAACATTCTATTAATTATAAAAACAAGTTTACTTTATTAGGGATGTGAATAATTATCAATATGTAATTAAAATATGTATACTTAGCTACAAATTTAGGACCTCATTTGACGATAGCGTAGCATTAGAAATTAAAGTTTGGTATATATAAATAGATTTGATTTCTCGATTTAGTTTTTTAAACTTGGTTTTCGAGTAATTTTTCAATATTGATCCAATCAATACAACTTGATTGGAAAAACTTAGAAAAATTACTGTATAAGGCTTTTTATACAATTTACCTACTCACTACAATGTACATAATGTGAACCTACCTACATATTGTATGTATGTTTGTATGTATAAGTATCGATGTACATATTTACTTATAAAATTCCCATTTCTTTTTATTCACCGAATCACATTCATTTTTTTTGTCTATATAATATGAAATAATATTAATAACTAAAAGCTTTCAGCAAATCACTTTTAAATTATTATTTCAGTGTAAAATAGTTTATAGTTATGGAATTTTATACATGCATAACTTGTTTCTAGAGCGCATCTGTTTCAAAATTAGTAAATCTGCAGTCATCAATTTTTATATAAATTCTGCTTCGAAATTCAATTGTTGTATTAGGAAGTGAAAGTCGAATAGGTCTTATAATAAATCCATATATTATATCGTATAAATTTTACCATATAAATGGTGAGTTTATATATTAAGTTTTAGTATAGTGAACAATTTTTTTTCCATAAATTTAACTCATTTAATATACATACATAAGTACATACAGACTTGAAAATCAATGAATGCACATTTCCAATGAATGAATTTGGAAAAAAGTGTACTTATAACATAGTCACACTGTATCCGTCCGGAAATGTGTTTACAAAACGAATAAAACTTTTTTACTACAAGAACATTTTGCGCTTTCCCCTCCCTATCACTCCAAAAGTTATAGTGCCTATAGACATTACTTGTAAGTCCAAAGTTCTCATGAACGAACAAGAGAACTTATTACTTGTTGTGGAATAACACAAAAAATTTTACCATTATCTTAATTCAGCTTCTTTTTTTTATTTTTAATTTTTTTTATTGTTTAAGCGAATAACAGTTTCCCCTACAATACAACATTCTAACCCTTTTAATCCCGATCTGACAACTAAATCAAGAATTAAATTAGTACAATTTCGACTGATAGTTTGTAAAACTTAAATTTCTTTCTCTAAAATTGAAAACTTTTCCAAATATTAAAACAAAATGTCCTTCTATCAAAAAGAAAATTATTTATATAACTGACCTTTTTAATTCTCAAACATTGCGCTTGATCCAAATTTGAAAACATTTGTAAATTATTAAATTCAAATACATATTATGACTGCTACATGATCGATAGAATCGAACGTTACTAGAAGTTTTATAATAGGGGGCCACTTTTCTAATATTTTGAAAAAAGAGATATTAGTATTTAGTATACTCGTATTACTGATTTTTTATATGTATTGAGTATTAGAGTAGATTTTATATTTAAGCAAGTGTTTTCTGTTGCTTCATTAATTACGTGTACAACATAAACTTAATAGTCGGAAGGTTTAATTTTGTAATTTTAAATTTAATTTAATAGAAACTGTTGAGTACATAATACTCTTAAAATGGTGTTTAACCTAGTAATTTTTAAAGTAACCTTTACTATAATTTTATTTTGTACATTTGGTTTTGGATTGGAACATTTTGATGATTTGCACTCATCCATAACTGCTTTAAGAGAAGCATTTCGAACAGAAAAACTTTATATTGAAAATTTAGAAATATTTCTTAAATATTCTTTTAAAATATTGAATGCTTTAAAAAGGTAAAACTATAAAATTGCTATCTTACGTTCGAAACCATAGGAGTATAACATACTTATGTAAATATTGAATTTTAAGCAAACTGCACGAGATAAAAAGTAGTAAACCTCCTAATATCAGTGAAGAAATAACATTGAGAAAAAAGCTAAAATCACAATATACATTGAATAACGTACTAGGATCGAATTATATAGGTCTGTATAAAATATATTTTAATTGTGTCAGTTAAATGTTTTATTAATGGTCTGATGCAGGTTTTGCAAGAAACATCTCAAATTTTGCTGATACCTACAAGTTCCCGACTGATATTGACTTAGAAGGTGCAACTAAAGCTATTAATCGTTTGCAAGATGTTTACGGTTTTTCAGCCAAAGAAATTGCTTCAGGTTCCTTTTTGAATTTGAAAGGCGTTTCTAACAAGTAATATCGAAATTTATAAAATTTAAATTTTGATAAATTCTGACTTTTTTTTTTCCTGTTTCAATAAGAAAACTTAAGTCTTCTGATTGCTTCTTAATTGGATTTAAGTTGTTTAATCTTGGGAAAAGAAATGAATCAGAGGAATGGTTTAATCTTGCCTATGATCTCTATGACAGAACACAAAATATTGATGAAAAAGAACTTTCGTTGGAAGAACCGTTTCACATAGCAGTAATTTTAGATTTCTTGGCACATGTAAAATTTCGATTTGGTAATATGTAAATACATACTTAGATACATATGTACAAATTTTGTTACTAACACAAAAAAATTTTTAATGATTTTTGTTTAGATGATATTATACATACGCAAATAGCGATTGAGTTAATACAACAGGCAATAGCCGAAGATCCATCATATGAACATGTTCGTAGGCAATTAATTAGTTACGAAAAAGTTTTGAGCTTGTATATGGAAGTAGGCAGAGTTGTAAGTAAATAGACAAATCCATTTTAAAAACCAAGATCTGTTTATATAATAAGAATGTACATTTATTTTAGAGATTCTATTAACTTATGTATATTTACAAAAATTTTTAGAATTACAATAGATTAATATTTTTGATTTATGGAATTTATTTAAATAAGTTTAAATTTTCTTCTATAACAGAATATTCTGCAAGAAAAAGAATATTATAAAATTGCATGCCGTGGAACTATTAAAAAATCTTCAAAATCTATAAAAAAAATGTACTGTACTTACAAAAACGGTCGTCATCCATTTCTTATTTTAGCACCCTTGAAAGTAGAAATTGTAAATGTGGACCCGTACGTATTAATATTTCATGATATTATATATGAAAATGAAATTGAAATTATAAAATCGATGAGCAAAGATTCGTTATCACGTGCTAATGTTTGGGATGCTCGAGCAGGTAAAGCAATAATTTCTCATATAAGGACAGGCAAATATAGCTGGTTAGCGAAACATATGCACCCAGTTTTAAATGTCTTAAATCAAAGAATTGAAGATATGACAGATATGTCAATGGAAACCTCTGAAACTTTGCAGGTTATGAATTATGGAATAGGCGGCCATTATGATGTTCACCCTGATTATTTAGATGAGCCTAAGGGAAATGTAATTAAAATATAGAAAAGGAATTTTTGTTTTGTGAATAATTTTTATTTTACTTTTTGTTTTAGACGACAGGATACGTTAATCATTTTTGGGGAAACAGGATTGCCACTATCTTGTTTTATGTAAGTTGGCTGATTTCATTTTTTTTTGTTAAGTTTAATTGCAAAAATTTTAAAAAAGTTGTCAGAAGTTGAGCATGGTGGCGCAACTGTGTTCCCACATATAAACATCTCTCTTCAACCTAAGAAAGGAGCAGCTGCTTTTTGGTTTAACATGTTACCTTCTGGGTTACCTGATTATAAAGTGAGACATGCAGCTTGTCCCGTTATATTTGGTTCGAAATGGGGTAAAGTTCATAAAAGAAAGAAAATGAAGTATTAAAATAATGATGTTCCTATTTTAGTTGCAAATAAATGGATTCGTTATAATGGTCAAATATTTCATAGACGATGTACGACCAATAAAAATGATTACTATCATCTGTATGGAGATACCATATTTCAATAGAAGTGTAACAAAGTACCACTTCATAAATTATCATAGTAAAATTAAAATTTTTGCGTAGCTTGTCAGTGATTATCTTTTATTTTTTCTATTGCAAAATAATTATTGTTAGTTGTAATATTAAAATGCTCGTGAATTATGTTACATGAAAAGAATGTTTAATTTAGGTTAAAGTGATTCATTATTAAAATTTAAACTTTTAAATTTAACATTATCTACATACGAGTAGTTTAAATAATTTTTTGATACTTACTTCAAGTTATTTATTTTGATAACAACACCATCCCTTTTTAAATGACTTATTTATAATTTAACATATAATTTTGCTGTACCTAATTTAGTACGCTATTTATTTGGAAAAAGTTTATTGACTTTGGGAAAAGGTGAAAAAATTCTCTTGATAAAAAATTAGTAATTCTCTCAGATTAATGAAGTATGTTATAAAACAGATTAAAACTCTTAGTTTGAGCTTCACTACAAAAGGTGGCAAAAAACGTCAAAGGTGATTTAAGTCTCTTAGACCAACATTTTTTTAAAGTATTCTACATACTGCTACAATTTTTTGATCATATAGTTTTTGTATTCGTTAGGGCAGTTGTTGAAAAATAAATTCGAGCGTGGCTAAAAGATGTGTGCGGAATTAAAAAAAAAACTAAAAAAAAAAACTTCAGCCTTATGATATACAACATTTCTTGCTAACCTTATAGCTGAAAACCAGACAATATGCGATCATGATGTGTGTGGAACCATAACAGAATCCAATCCAGCAGATGTAGCATTTTGCGGTATACATCTTAGAGAATTAATTATACATATATGTATTTAAAATAATAGGAATAGGCATTAAGGGTCTTTTCTCTGTTTTCACCATATTTCGACTTATTTTTGTATTTCTAAAAACTGATAGTATGTTAATAAAGTATGTGAGATTGTGTGGAAACGACATTTTGCAAAACAGGAAGAACGTTATATACATTTGTCAAATATTTTAGCAGATTTTCTGTTTAAACAGTTGTTATTTATAAATAATTAGTACGTGTTCCTATATCATAATCGTAACGTTTGAAAGCTTTATTTAACAGTTTGAATTTTTGATTTCAACTCTTAAAAGATAACATTAATTCATTTTAATAAAAACAGTTAACTACAGCATACTATTATTTCAAAATGGTGTTTATCTCGCTAAATTTCAAACTATGCTTAGGTATATTACTTTTTATTGCGTTTGGTCACGGATTGGAGGATTCTGATGATTTGCACTCATCTATAACCGCTTTAAAAGAAGCATTTATAACAGAAAAACTCTATATTGAAAATTCAGAAATATTCCTGGAATATTCTTCTAGAATTTTGAATGCTTTAAGAAGGTAAGACCATAAACTTGCTTCTTTACTTTTGAGACAATAGAAGTACGTGCGAACTTATAACGTATGTAAATATTGAATTTAAAGCAAACTGCACGAGATAAAAAGTACTAGACCTTCTAATATCAGTGAAGAAATCACATTGGAAAGAAAGCTAAGATTACAATATAGGTTAAATAACATATTAGGGTCGAATTATATTGGTTTGTATAAAATTTATTTTAATTGTGTCAGTTAAATGTTTCATTAATGGTCTGATGCAGGTTTTGCAAGAAACATCTCAAGTTTTGCTAACACCCACAAGTTTCCGACTGATATTGACCTAGAAGGTGCAGCCCAAGCTATTTCTCGTTTGCAAGATGTTTATGGTTTTTCAGCCAAAGAAATTGCTTCAGGTTCATTTTTGAATTTGGAAGACGTGTCTCACAAGTAATTTCAAGATTTACAGAATTTAATTTTTGTTAAATTTTGACTTATTATTTTTTTAATTTAATAAGAAACCTTAAGTCTTCTGACTGCTTCTTAATTGGATTTAAGTTGTTTAAGCTTGGGGAAAAAACAGCAGCTGAAGAATGGTTTAATCTTGCATATGATCGCTATGACAGAACCCAAATTATTGATGAAAGAGAACTTTCGTTGGAAAAACCATTTCCCATATCAATTATTTTGGATTTCTTAGCTCACTCAAAATTTCGATTTGGTAATGCAAATTTTTTTGTATCCTGTAAAATGTTTCAAAATGAATAGTTTTTAGATGATGTTCCGCATGTAGAAATGGCAATTCAATTAATACAAAAAGCAATTAGCGAAGACCCAGAATATGAACATCTTTATAAACAATTAGACAGTTATGAAAAGGTTTTACGCTTGTATATGAACACAACAAAGATCGTAAGTTAAATTGCATATTTAAACACAATAGCCGAAATTAGCCAAAAAAATTCAAGTTCACTCATAGTTGGATTTAAATAATTAAGCTCATATTGAAATGTTGAAAAGAGATTATATATGTACATGTATGTATGTGTGTATCATTTAATTACAGAACACTTTGCAAGAAAAAGAATATTACAGAATTGCTTGTCGAGGAGAAGCAAGGAAGTCTTCAGAATTAACTAGACAATTGTATTGCATTTATAAAAATGGTCTTCATCCATTTTTAAAATTAGCTCCTATTAAAGTGGAAATCAAAAATATAAATCCATACGTAATGATTTTTCATGATGTTCTCTATGAAAATGAAATCGAAATGTTGCAATTAATGAGTATGGGTTTGTTGTCACGTGCTACAGTTTATGATGCAAAGGAATCTAAATCAGTCTTATCTCACAGCAGAACTAGTAAACATGGTTGGCTATATGACGACATGGATCCACTTTTAAATATTTTAAATCAAAGGATGGAAGATATGACAGATATGACGATGGAAACTTCCGAAGCGTTACAAGTTATGAATTACGGAATAGGAGGCCATTATGATATTCATCCTGATTATTTGAATGAGCCTAAGGAAAATGTAATTAATTTATAAATTAAACAATTTTTTTGTGTTGGAAACTAGATTTGTATTTTTTTTTTTAATTGTAGGAAACAGGTTATGCAAATCTTTCATGGGGAAATAGGGTTGCAACGCTCTTATTTTATGTAAGCTCTTATTTTATATAAATATCATTTTTCTATCAAGTTTATCTTTCAAAATTTAATTACATGTTAAAGATGTCAAATGTTGAACAAGGTGGATCCACTGTTTTTCCACATATAAGTACTGTTGCACAGCCCAATAAGGGAGCAGCCGCTTTTTGGTTTAACATGTTACCTTCGGGGTTACCTGATTATAAAGTGAGACATGCAGCTTGTCCCGTTATATTTGGTTCGAAATGGGGTAAAGTTCATAAAAGAAAGAAAATGAAGTATTAAAATAATGATGCTTCTATTTTAGTTGCAAATAAATGGATTCGTTATAATGGTCAAATATTTCATAGACGATGTACGACCAATAAAAATGATTACTATCATCTGTATGGAGATACCATATTCCAATAAAAGTGTAACAAGTACCACTTCATAAATTATCATAGTAAAATTAAAATTTTTGTGTAGTTTGTCAGTGATTATCTTTTATTTTTTCTATTGCAAAATAATTATTAATTAGTCATAATTTATGATATTAAAAACACGATCGTTAATTATTTTTTATGAAAAGAATGTGTTATTTGATTCTATTTTGAAGAGTATTTCAAAGTGATCAATACAGTTGGACCCGGATAATTGCCAAACTAAAGAACAAGAATATTTCTTACTGTATCGGTTTTTGCAATGATAAGATTACCAGACAAATACAAAATTTTTGCTATTAAGTGGGTCAATTTATTTACTTAATTGCATTTATTAGTTGCGGTCTTTAGTTTTACATACATAAATAGCTTGTTTAAAAAAACAAATGGCTGAAAAAAAACGAATGTTCATTGTAAATGTTTGGTGCTTTAAAACGTAAATGTAGATGACGCGATTGTTTGAAATGTGAATTATATGTCACTATTAATGAAAAAACTGACAATTTTTAAATTTTGTTTTTTGCAATTAACTGGTTTTATTTTTATGTTTTGTCATATTTTATTTTAAAATATACTTTGCAATCAGAAGGGTACTTGCGTTTATTTGGGTTGCAATTGTCTGGCTGAAAGTATTTGAAAAAATATTAAACTAAAACTTTTATTTAATTTTAACCGGGTTTGCGTTTGCAACTATACAGGTTCGACTGTGTCATGATATCTGCACTTTAAATTTAATATGGTATAAATAATTTAAATAACTTTTAGATACTTACATTAAGTTATTTATTTTAATACCGTAAAATCATTCCTTAATTATTTTGATAGATTTGTAGTCTTTCATTTGTATTGGTATTTTATATGAAATTTAATGACAGATATTTGATTTCAAAACGTTCGATTGCGGCCATAAATAAATTCACGACTTTTAACTTTTAAACTATCAAAATAATTTGCACTTTCGATTAATAATTTTTTGAAAATTTCAGATCTGCTGAAATTTGATTATAAATTAATTCGTTAATCTAATTCATTAAAAAATCTTCTCAATCCAAATACAATATGCATTTGTATGCAGTAGCGAATGACGAGCAAATGGAGTCTAAAATATTGTAATTATAAAATATATGAAGCCAAAACCATTCTATCCAATTTAGTCCACTATTTAAAAAAAGTTGTTCGTTTTTTTTGAAGAAGAAGAAGAAGAATACGTATTTAAAAATATTTACATATACACGATGTATTAAGAAAATTCGGTTGAAAAAATAAGTAATTCTGTTAGATAAATTAAATAAATGCATACATATGCATCTACACGAAAGAATTAAAGCCTATCTGGAAAAGAACAAAATAATTAAATACAAGAGGTGAATGAAAAAATTACCTGACTTCAATGGTTGAAAAATAAATTAAAGCATTGCTGAATAAGATAATTTAGCTGACAAAATACAAAATTCCAATTGTAGCTAAAAAATATGTAACATTTGTTATGTATACATAAGATTGATTCAGATTTTGCTTAGCAGGAAGAACCTTATATATAAGTTAAATGTATAAGGTTCTTATATATTAAATATTTTGGTATGAATTTTCTATTTAAACAGTTGTTATTTGTAAATGTTTAGTACGTATGAAACATAAACAGGAAAATTAGAAGTTTTCTCTAACATTTCGTATTTAATTTTAACTCTTAAAAATTAACATTAGTTTATTTTAATAAAAACAGTTAATTAGATACATACTTACTATTATTTCAAAATGATGTTTATCTCGTTAAATTTCAAACTATGCTTAGGTATATTATTTTTTATTGCGTTTGGTCATGGATTGGAGGATTTTGATGATTTGCACTCATCTATAACCGCTTTAAAAGAAGCATTTATAACAGAAAAACTCTATATTGAAAATTCAGAAATATTCCTGGAATATTCTTCTAGAATTTTGAATGCTTTAAGAAGGTAAGACCATAAACTTGCTTCTTTACTTTTGAGACAATAGAAGTACGTGCGAACTTATAACGTATGTAAATATTGAATTTAAAGCAAACTGCACGAGATAAAAAGTACTAGACCTTCTTATATCAACGAAGAAATCACATTGGAAAGAAAGCTAAGATTACAATATAGGTTAAATAACATATTAGGGTCGAATTATATTGGTTTGTAAATAAAATATATTTTAACTGTGTCAGTAAATGTTTCATTAATGGTCTGATACAGGTTTTACAAGAAACATCTCAAGTTTTGCTAACACCCACAAGTTCCCGACTGATATTGACCTAGAAGGTGCAGCTCAAGCTATTTTTCGCTTGCAAGATGTTTATGGCTTTTCAGCCAAAGAAATTGCTTCAGGTTCATTTTTGAAATTGGAAGGCGTGTCTCACAAGTAATATCAAGACCTACAAAATTTAATTTTTTTTAAATTTTGACTTGTTATTTTTCTTGATTAAATAAGAAACCTTAAGTCTTCTGACTGCTTCTTAATTGGATTTAAGTTGTTTAAGCTTGGGAAAAAAACAGCAGCTGAAGAATGGTTTAATCTTGCATATGATCGCTATGACAGAACCCAAATTATTGATGAAAGAGAACTTTCGTTGGAAAAACCATTTCCCATATCAATTATTTTGGATTTCTTAGCTCACTCAAAATTTCGATTTGGTAATGCAAATTTTTTTGTATCATGTAAAATGTTTCAAAATGAATAGTTTTTAGATGATGTTCCGCATGTTGAAATGGCAATTCAATTAATACAAAAAGCAATTAGCGAAAACCCAGAATATGAACATCTTTATAAACAATTAGACAGTTATGAAAAGGTTTTACGCTTGTATATGAGCACAACAAAAATCGTAAGTTATATTGCATATTTAAACACAATAGCCGAAATTAGCCAAAAAATTTAAGATCTTTTGTAGTTGGGTTTAAATAATTAAGCTCATATTGAAATGTTGGAAAAATTGTATATATCTTTGTATGTATGTACTATTTACTTACAGAACATTTTGCAAGAAAAAGAGTATTACCGAATTGCTTGTCGGGGAGAAGCAAGGAAATCTTCAGAATTAACTAGACAATTGTACTGCATTTATAAAAATGGTCTTCATCCATTTTTAAAATTAGCTCCTATCAAAGTGGAAATCAAAAATATAAATCCATACGTAATGATTTTTCATGATGTTATCTATGAAAATGAAATCGAAATGTTGCAATCAATGAGTATAGATTTATTGTCGCGCGCCACAGTTTGGAATGCTACGACATCTAAATCAATTTTATCTCACAAAAGAACTGGTAAACATAGTTGGCTGTATGACGACATGGATCCACTTTTAACTATTTTAAATCAAAGGATGGAAGATATGACAGATATGACGATGGAAACTTCCGAGGCGTTACAAGTTATGAACTACGGAGTAGGAGGCCATTATGATGTTCATCCTGATTTTTTGAGTGAACCAGAACACAATGTAATTAAATTATAAAAAGTTATTTTTCCTTGAAAATAAGTTTATTTCATGTTTTGTTAGGAATCAGCTTATGTAGGCCTTTTCTGGGGAAATAGGGTTGCAACCCTCTTATTTTATGTGAGTTTTGTAATATCATTTTTGTTTTAAGTTTAACTTCAAAAATTAATTGTATCAAAGATGTCAGATGTTGAACAAGGTGGATCCACTGTTTTTCCACACATAAATACTGCTGTACAACCTAAGAAAGGAACTGCTGCTTTTTGGTTTAACATGTTACCTTCTGGGTTATCTGATCATAAAGTGAGACATGCAGCTTGTCCCGTTATATTTGGTTCGAAATGGGGTAAAGCTCATAACACAAAAAAAAAGGTCAAATAATGTTATTTTTCAATTTTAGTTGCAAATAAATGGATTCGTTATAATGGTCAAATATTTCGTAAACCTTGTGCATTAAATATAAACAAATATTACCAAATATATCATAGCAATATGTCGGAATAAGATGATTAACAAATAGAGCTCTTTTTGTGTCAAATAGAGCCGACAACACAGTCAAATTTTAAACCGAATTTAATCAATTTGATGAATCATTTTACCTTTCTTTTATAAATATACATGTATCTTAAAACAGATTAAATTTACATATGTATATATAACCAATTGCCTTATTACCTGGTAAGAGCAAGAAATAATTACTATATTGTTATATACAATAATTGATGACCGTGTTAAAAGTGGCTAGTAAGCTAGTGTTAGAAAAATTACGGCTTGATGATGCAACCCAAACGATATATTTTTGTGCTCATTTGTATAGTTCTTGTAATCTTATTACATATAGTTAATTAATTTGGAACCCCTGCCCGTGTACCACTCCTTCTATGGTGAAATAGCAAAATTATGTGAGCACCTAAGAAAAACCTTTATCTAAAATAAGTGTTCTTGAATATTGATTGATTTTCTATTCAAAAAGCTGTTACATTTAATGAAATATCATTATTTGATTGAAAACGCATATGGAAACTTTTTCTTTGAAAACGTTTTTCTTTTAAGTCATCAATATTGTAGTAGCTCAAGTAATACTATTTATAATTAAGGATTATTTTTTTAACTGTTCATTTGGGTTGTCCACGTTATTAAATGTTAGTAAAAGTGAGTAGCTTCTTTTTCTATATTTACGGAATTAAGAAATTGTATGAATTTTTGACACAATTGGTTATTACAAGTTGATTTTTTTTAGGATTTTGAGTGCCCATAACGTTTAGACAAATAATTTTGAAAAATTCAGTAAAATAGGAAGCACCTTACCCTGCCTAGAAGAGAATATTTTTTGTTATAAGAAACTATGTATAATCTAACTTTGGGGTTTATAAGTTTGGACTTGAGTTAACTGCTTTTAAAATCAAGATAAAAATTAAATAAAATAAAAAAAAATTTTTAGGACATTTACAATACATTTTTTATTTTACAAATTTATCATATCATTGTTTTCTTTTTTATTTCCTAAGGCAAAACTAAAGTTATAAAATTACATTCGTTCATCTACTAGTTTGACTCAGTCATGCAGGTGTATCCATCCATTTTAGTAGTTAACTCTAATAAATATAAAAATTCAGAGTGTGGATTTGTGGATTTGTGGATTTTCAGATGTAATTTTCCGCATATGAAAACTCCTGTTCATGGATCATGAAAACTCCTGTTCCAGATTATAAAAAGATTCGGGTTGAATCCATAAAAGATGAACTAAAAAGATAAAATAGTGTTTAACTTCTATTTATGTTTAAAACAAATAGAATAAATTGTCAATAAGTGTATTACAATTAGAGTGAATATTACAATTATATGTAAACGCTTATAGAAAAGTTTTTGAGCTAATCCAATATCGTGTACAATAAGATTTTACTAACATTGTATGAAGTTTAATTTAGTTAAGTGAATCTGATTGTACTTACTCTTTTATTATTAATACCACGCACCATCTTCCTTCTGTATGTACCTTCAAAACTATTCAAAAAATTTAAAATATATTTTTTACAAAAAATTTTTTTTATAGATTTTCAAAATTTACTCTTTCTTCATTCATTTGGGGTGAGGAGATACCAATCCAAAAACTTTATTTTTAACAATATTTTATTTAATTATTTTTTATAATAGGATTCAGAAGTATCTCCTCGGATAAGGATTTAAGGAGTGTGGTAAAGGAAAAATTTATTGGATTTATTGTGTATATACATATATCTACATAATAATGCTTTCCGCATCACTTAGAACTGTTTCATGCTAAAAAGGAGACTGCTTTAACTAAGAAAGTTCTTAGTTTGAAATGATCATCATGATTTAATTATCTAAAATAAAATTACTTGTCTGTTTCATTTACATAGATTACATAATTGTAATGCGATATAGAAAATATACTTATTTGAAATGTTTGTGAGAAAATTATTTGGTTCGGTAGAGCCAAATTTATTATTGTCAAATAAATTTTGTTATTAAAATTATATAAATTGCTTATAGAAACATTAAGAGATCTTATTACAGTCGAAATTGAAGGTTATTTAAAACATAAAATTATCTAGCAGCCTCGCTATACGTATAGTGACCGACGGTCTTTATTAAGAAATGCGTAAAACTCTGTTTCTAGTTGTAAGAAGAGTTTTTTTTAAACAGATATTTATTAAAAAATGAAAATTATTGCAACAAATTACAAGTGAAAATGAAATTGGCAATGATTAATAACAAAAAAGAAATTACTTAACCATATTATTATAGAATGACATTATAGACTTCACATGACATTATAAAATGTCACTATAGTATCGTGAAAGTAAATTGAAAGACTTTGAAATTAACTATTAACTATTGAGTCGGTCATAATAAAAATTTACTTAATAAAAAATTCAAAAAAAATGGTCATTAAAATTAAAATTTTTCTAATAGAAATTATAAGATTTTTTTTAAAATATTGCAATATTAAGTAATGCAAAATATGTACTTTCTGTTTTAAAATAGGCACAATCACGAATAATATTAATAACTTGTACACAATTTATAAAAATATATAATCTCCACTTATAAGATGTGACGTTATAGTTTATAAAAATGGAATCGAATAATGCTTAAATGTGGAGGTAATTAATTTTTGATTAATTGATATAAAAATTTGAAATGCTTAATTGTATTGCAAATTATTATTGACTTTTAATTTAAATTTTATATATGTATACAAAATTTCAACATAAAATTAAAATTAAAATAACGTCGCAGCTTTGGTTCCCTTTGCTGTATGTTAAAAATCTGCATGCAAATTGCATTTCAAGAAAAAAACATTAATATTTAATAAACCGTTGAAATTGTTGGAAATAACTAAATTACATCATTACAAGCAAATAACAAGTAAAATTACTATATTCATATAGTATTTTCCTAATTTGAGTGACGTACATGAAGTCGGTAAGTTTTACATACATATATAAATAAATATACTTTTAATACGCATTTGCATGCTAATTGAAATTTACTGAATTTAATTTTGATTTTTTAATTGAGCGTTCGTACTAATTATATTACAAAAAATTGTAGTAATTGTTAAGTAAATATTCTTTAAAATATTGCAACAATTTAAAAATGATTATTTATTAAAAATAAAAAAAAAATGAGCTATGTATAACCTTCAAAATGTGCCCAATACTGACAATAATTTTGTTTGAAATTTGAAATAAAATACGAATAAAAATTTACGTAAGAAAATTTGCATTTTCAAAGTATAAAATCTTAAATTAGTTCAAAAAAAATTATAAGTTTACGTTTTAAATTTCATTTTACAAACAAAAAAATAATTCATTTGAAGGAAACGTAGTAAGAACGATTGTGTTTGTTTAAATTTACACACATCGTTTATCATACTCGTAAATACTGCATTTAAGCATGTTACAATTTTACAATAATAAAATATTTTAATTTTTTTAAATTCGATGCTTAAACAAAAGCCTATCTAATGACTAATAATAAATCTATCAGGCTACCAAGTTTATATGCCAAGAAATTAAATCAAAAATAATTTCCAAATTTGAACGCAAATTAAAAGGGGTATTTAAAATTTTTTGTCAGAATGGAATTGTATAATATTTTAAACTCTACTAATTCTACATATTATTTCAGTATTTAACGTTTAAATTTAGAAAAAATCGGTTAGCAAATTAGCTAGAGAAAAAAAAATTTGAAACAAATAAAGAATTTATTGTAAATTTGAATGCATACGACATTTACAGAGAAAAATTTTTGATTTAAAAATTTAACAACAAAAAAAAATTAAACCTTCAAAATAAATATCAAAAAATAATTTTTGTTTTAATTAGCAAAAAAAAAGTAAAGAAAAATAATTATATTGAGTATAGGAGGCCTTTGAAAACAAACTAAATAAATCGAGCTAGAATACTAAAAAATTAAACAAAAAAAAAAACAATTTTAATATTTCAAATGTAATGTATTTAAAATTACAGTATTATTTTTGTGTATTTTGTTCCTTCAACAAATAATTTAAGCTTGGTGTCCTGATAGAGGTGATTGACCTTAGCATAAACTGCTATTTCTACTTTATTTGTAAACACTATGAAATACTATTGTAAGATCTTTCATTTTGTTGTATTTTGAATAAGATCTGATAAAAATCACTTATATTGTTTTATTACTAGTTTAGGAAACTAGATTTTACTACTTAAACTTTTTTGACGAAGAATGTGATTGACATCGTAGATTTTCTTTTTTTTAATATAAAAATTTCGAAGAAAATCTGAGAACTTTAATAAATAATTTTTTTCTGATTTTTTGCATTTCAAAAAATAACTGATCTAACTACCTTTTTTTGTCTTTTACTAGTCTGGGAAACTCGCTATTAAAACGAAGATTTTACTACTAAAAATTTTTTGACGAAGAGTGTAATTGACATCGTAGATTTTGTTTTCATATAAAAATTTCGAAGAAAGTACGAGAAGTTTAATAATAATTTTTTTCTGATTTTTTTTGCATTTCGAAGAATAACTGATCTAACTAACTTTTTTGTCTTTTACTAGTCTGGGAAAATCGACGCTAGAACGAAGATTTTACTACTTAATTTTTTTCGAAGATTTGTTTTCGACGAATAATGTAATTGATATCGTAGATATTTTTAATATAATAATATAGAAATAAATACGAAGACTATAATAAACAAATTTTTTTTTTGATTTTTTTCATTTCGAAGAATAACTCATCTGAATAACTTATTTCAATTTTTACTAATTCGACGCTAGAACGAAGATTTGACTACTTAATTTTTTTCGAAGATTTATTTTCGGCGAATAATATAATTTATATCGTACTTTTTTTAATATAATAATATAGAAATAAATACAAAGACTATAATAAACAAATTTTTTTTTTGATTTTTTTCATTTCGAAGAATAACTCATCTGAATAACTTATTTCAATTTTTACTAATTCGACGCTAGAACGAAGATTTGACTACT